GGAAATTATATGTAACAATTAACTGTGTACTAATTACATGTTTGAATGTTATCAGTTTTACGTTCTGAGATACAGTGATGTAAGCATCTTCTAAAATCTTCTAAAAATATAATAAAATACAAAACTCTCTGCCGTAATTTTTTGTGGAAATCATTCGATCAAGTAAAAATGACTGCGTGACAAGACGAATCAACTATTTATACCCGATAAAAGAAACTGCCGTATTTTAGGAACAGTGCTATAACAAGACATTTGAAATTTCTAACAAGCAGATACATTAGATACAGTGACTAGACTACAGGTACGTAATCCGTATCAATCAAAGGAGTAAAAAAACTGAAAATCATATCTGTCGGAGACCTACCAAATTACCAAGTTTTATCATTACTATATTTATTACAATGCAAATACTTTAGTGATACATTTTTTAGAGGAGAGGGCATACACACAAGTATATTGCTTCCGTGTGTGAATGCAGGTTGTACTTGGTATCTAAGTTCTCAGTTTCATACCGGTTGTATAACTGAATTCGTATATGGAACCATGCGTACAGCATGACAATTACTTGCTATTCGTCAGTTTACAACACACATAACACGGTCAAACAATTTTAGGCACCGCTTTTGCGAGTTATTTAGTACAATAATGTTTTATTAAAATCTCTTTCAATTTGTTTTCACCATTTTCACTATTGACAGTCGTTGTTGCGTGCGTCACTAGGTAATTAGTACGGATTGACCTTGTTTATTGTTTCTATACTTTGAGGATTTCTGTGGCAAGTGGCGGACGTAATTCAAACTCCTTCCGCACTGACACCGCATCAAATATATTTGTGTACCAATTACATAACTCTAATGGACAGGGTGGGGTGGTAGTTCACCGGACGACACTGTGTATATTGGGCGGCTCCTTTGATATCTCCTCCAAACATACGTTTATTGAATGACCCCATTAAACGATGATACACATCTCGATGAATATATCAAGGCACTAATTCATCTTTCATAAACATTTTTTTGTCTTTGTGCTTAATATATCCACATATCAACGAACATTTGTAAAACATGTATCCTAAAAAAAATAAACATTTTCAGGCTAGGTATTTGCCCACAGCAACACCTGCATAACTGTTTATTCACGCGTGGTGTGGTAGATCGTAATTGACCGAGAGCAGGTATCGTAGAATCACCTGTAAATAAGGCCGACACTGTAATTAGATACAACGTTCTAATGAGAATTATCATAAGAAGGCTGTTGTTTTTTCTGAACTGTTACCATTTTCATACCAAAAGTGACAATGCAGTTAAAAGTTGCTTTAGTGTCACAATATTCACTCACGTTTTCCTCAATCGCATTGAAACATAATTCCTACTGGTCAGTTCGAAACCGCATGTAATTAAATAATTATTTCGAGATTTCGTTAGAATGTAAGATATTCAGCAAAACGTTATGCAATAAAAGACGAATAGTTTTTTTCATTAAAATACGCGCACGCGTACCAGTATATTGCATACCTAAGTGTCACGTAATTGCCCATTGTGATGTATCAACGGGACATAAAATGGGAAATGAAATAGAAACTAACTAAAATTTAATGTTGTGGAAATTAACTCCAATGAATTTGAGTACACTCACATGAATTCGTATGATAAACTGTCAAAACGTTTTGAGAGGTAAGGCCGGGTTCATTAAAGATCGCTACAATATGTAAAACAGGTGAAATTTGTAGAACTAAAGGAAACATCCAACCAAAAGCCCTTTTTAAATAGTAATGTAATGATATAATATAAAGTATATTTCACATGATACAATATACTTTGCAAACAGTTAGTTGATGCTTGAAAGGGACTGACGAAAACATGGGCGAAATATTTTAATAACGCCGTAAAATAGTTAAATTAAGTAAAAATTAGTTAAATTTTGTGTCATGATACTTGAATAAATACATTTAATGTATTTGCGAAAGAAAAACATGAGTTTTGAGTAAAGAAACATGTTCTCGCCCATGGGCCAAACCTTTTTCTCGCCCATGGGCGAAATATTTCAATATCGCTATAAAATCGTTGAATTAAGTTAAAATGAGTTTAATTTTGTGTCATGATACGTGAATGAAGACATTAAATGTATTTGCGAAACAAAAACATGAGTTTTAAGTAAAGGAACATATTCTCACCCATGGGCCAAACCTTTTTCTCGCCCATGGGCGAAATATTTCAATATCGCTATAAAATCGTTGAATTAAGTTAAAATGAGTTAAATTTTGTGTCATGATACTTCGTCATGATGGGCGACATAGTCTAAATATTGAGTTTTTAAACAATTTTTTTTTCATTTTTTCTTCCTTGGTATGTTCCCATGAAAACGGCATGTTTAATTTTGTAAATACCTTTAACCGAGACTGGGCAAAGAGCGTAGAGTTTCTGGACTTTTGGGTTTCCAGAATTAAAATGGGACGTGTTAGTTACATATTCTATCATAAACTGCAGATGGGAACAACACCAGTAATAACTTTTTTAATGCTGCGAATTAGGCCATTTACAAATAGGCCCAGTCAACATAGTTCACAGGAGCTGATGCATTGCACACAACCGGACATGTCATATTGGCGGGGGATATGAGTATTTCATGCTTGTTCATTATTAGTTAACAGACTGAAAGCTGAAGAATGTCGACCACGAAGAGACATCCCGCATGTCCACACGACGCAGCATCCGTGTTGTCAAGGATGACTTTCTGGTATGTGTCAATTTCTGGGGTAACCTGCTAGTATGTGTCAGTTTCTTGGGTAACCTTCTATGTGTCAATTTATGGGGTAACCTTCTGGTATGTGTCGATTTCTGGGATAACCTTCTGGTATGTGTCAATTTCTGGGGTAACCTTCTATGTGTCAATTTGTGGGGTAACCTGGTATGTGTCGATTTCTGGGGTAACCTTCTATGTGTCAATTTGTGGGGTAACCTGGTATGTGTCAATTTCTGGGGTAACCTTCTATGTGTCAATTTGTGGGGTTACCTGGTATGTGTCGATTTCTGGGGTAACCTTCTATGTGTCAATTTGTGGGGTAACCTGGTATGTGTCAATTTCTGGGGTAACCTTCTATGTGTCAATTTGTGGGGTTACCTGGTATGTGTCGATTTCTGGGATAACCTTCTGGTATGTGTCGATTTCTGGGGTAACCTTCTATATCGATTTCTGGGATAACCTATGTGTCGATTTCTGGGTATTAACATCTGGTATGTGTCGATTTCTGGGATAACCTTTACGTATGTGTCGATTTGTATGGTCACCTTGTGATATGTCTTGAATTGTGTTCTTGAACATAATCATTATGCTTCATACTACTGTAGAAAATAGAAATTGTGGTTTTGCGGCTTACAAAATATCAAATCTCCAGACGAAGTCAAATATTTTAAACTTTCTATAACGCATTATTATATATGTCCCTCGTGCATTTGCTTCACAGTCATGCACCAAACATCGTGTCTTCATGTGACAAATAACCCCGTGAAGATTCTGGGGTAGAATAGGTCTTCAGCAACCCATGCTTGTCGTAAAAGGCGACAAACGGGATCGGGTGGTCAGGCTCGCTGACTTGGTTGATGCATGTCATCGATCCCAATTGCGTGGATCGATGCTCATGATATCAATCACTGGATTGTCTGGTCCAGACGCGATTATTTACAGACCGCCGTCATATAGCTGGATTATTGCTGAGTGCGGCGTTAAAAACAAACCAACAAACCAACCAAATCATGTGACAAATAGGTTAATAATATTTCCAAACGTACTGCCGATGATTAAATCTGAAACGTATGCACTACACCTTTTCGTAATCCTCCCAGCCCATCGTATCATTCGCTTGGCGTATGTGTCAGCACCGGAATGAGCAAACATCCGAAGATTCTATCATTCTTGAGCTACGTTCACCCTTGCTTCCAGGTGGTTAGGACCTTTGTTACATGTTGGTTTCAAGAGAAGACTTGAGTCGGAAGACCTGTACGAAGCCCCGAGAAATGATGAGGCGAGAACCTTGATGAGACGTCTTCATAAGTAAGACTCGGATGCATCCTGGCAGCGACGTATTCAATGGCAAACCACATGTAAAACATTATACAAAAAGGCGGCCCGTGAAGATCCGGGGTAGAATAGGTCTTCAGCAAACCATACTTGCCGTAAAAGGCGACTATGCTTGTCGTAAGAGGCGACTAACGGGATCGGGTGGTCAGGCTCGCTAACTTGGTTGATACATGTCATCGATCCCACTTGCGTGGATCGATGCTCATGATGTCAATCACTGGATTGTCTGGTCCAGACTCGATTATTTTACAGACCGCCGTCATATAGCTGGAATATTGCTGAGTGCGGCGTAAAACAACAAACCAACAACCAACAACATCCGTTGTGCCACATTCGACATTTCCAAGTTTTTCAGGAAAAGGCTATCTTCGATAAAAAATGGATTGTTTACTTTATCTTTGTACTAATCTTTCTGTGGATAATCGAGACTGGTTATTCTCTGGCGTTGACGTTTCATATAATATTTACCGTTATATATTTTTGAGCCATAATTGCCAATTCTGTAAAATATATTGAAGGTCAGTGAACATTTTGACAGTGAAATTTTATTTGACTCCAGGTACTGGAAAAATGAAGTCGCTGACAAAGGTTTGACCAACGCACGGCTGTTCCGTGTGTCTTTTCTTGCCTTCCGAAGGGACTGGCTTTTGCCTGGTTGTCTTATATTTTTGTCGGTAAGAAATCCTTCCTCCTTTCTCCGTGATCAAAAGCTCTGCTCGGTAAATGTTCCATTTGAATATATTGTTTGCCAAAGTGAATTCCTTTACAATCCTGTAAGGACATTTAATCAGGGCGAACATGATCATAAACATACCTTAGAAGTACGATACAAATCACCAAGTGGGCGCAGATATCAGACATGTATTACATTTAGAAGACAAGGACCACTGTCTAGTTATACAAGATTATTTTTCCAGGAATGTATGAAGATGCTCCAGCCATTCTTAATTGGGCAGCTGATCGCCTACTTTTCTCCATCGTCTGTAATGTCTGATACCGAGGCCTACCTGTACGGTGTCTGTCTGAGCGTCACCGCCATGCTGCAGGTGTTTTGTAACCCATTCTACTTCTACATTATGGCTCGGGTAGCCATGAGAATGAGGGCGGCCATGTCTGGTCTCATATACAGAAAGGTAGGGTATCTGTTTTTGTTTTAAATAAATGGTACTACTCCGGCTATATCACGAGCACGTGTTTATGAAATAGTGATGATACCAGGTGTTCTAGAAAGGTTGGACGTATCGTGCTTCATCGGTGACACCCGTCAATTTTTCACAAAAACAAACACGGCAACGTTTTGTGCCAGCCTTTAGGAATTGCATCGGGCATAATCTTTGTCACCGCTGCGTCAAATTTGGGATTTTTTTACCTCCGTATGTCTATAATAAACGTTTTGAAAACTTTACTGAGGCCTTGAATGTTGTAACCTTGATCAAACACCTTTTGTCGAAGAGTCGTATTCATGACGCTTTTTGAAATCTTCGTAGGAAGAGGATGCTCGTTTGGACCTAAAGGTTGTGTTTCCATTTTGTATACATGACAGGTCCCTTGTCTCACTTGCTGATCGTGAGAGCCTACTAATGAGGATCGATGCTCCTGCTATCAGTCACTGGTTTGTCTGGCCTAGTTTCGAATGATTACAGGCAATCCTGATCCAGCTGGAACATTGCTGGCTGTGGCATAACAAATCACTTACTTGAAGCCATGTTGATATATTGTGCTGCTGACAACGAATCATCACCACTCGTAGCTATTTGTCACCGTTTCTTTCATCTTGCAGATCTTGGACATGAATAGTAAAAGTTTTTCACAAACAACATCAGGGAAGATAGTAAACCTCCTCTCAACAGATGTTGAAAAGTTCACTCTTGTGAGTATCCGGTGTCCTGATTGTATGGGGGTTCTAGGTTAGAAGGGGCGGTCGGGTAGCCTAGTGGTTAAAAATGGAAATTGCTGGAAAATTGCTAAAAGCGGCGTAAAACCATACTCACTCACTCACTCAGTTGTATATATACGTTCTTCCCGTCCTCCTTCAGTTGTGTATATACGTTCTTCCCGTCCTCCTTCAGTTGTATATGTACGTTCTTCCCGTCCTCCTTCAGTTGTATAATTATATACGTTCTTCCCGTCCTCCTTCAGTTGTATATGTACGTTCTTCCCGTCCTCCTTCAGGTGTATATATACGTTCTTCCCGTCCTCCTTCAGTTATATATATACGTTCTTCCCGTCCTCCTTCAGGTGTATATATACGTTCTTCCCGTCCTCCTTCAGGTGTATATATACGTTCTCCCCGTCCTCCTTCAGGTGTATATATACGTTCTTCCCGTCCTCCTTCAGTTGTATATACACGTTCTTCCCGTCCTCCTTCAGTTGTGTATATACGTTCTTCCCGTCCTCCTTCAGGTGTATATATACGTTCTTCCCGTCCTCCTTCAGTTGTGTATATACGTTCTTCCCGTCCTCCTTCAGTTGTATATATACATTCTTCCCGTCCTCCTTCAGGTGTATATATACGTTCTTCCCGTCCTCCTTCAGGTGTATATATACGTTCTTCCCGTCCTCCTTCAGTTGTATATATACGTTCTTCCCGTCCTCCTTCAGTTGTGTATATACGTTCTTCCCGTCCTCCTTCAGTTGTGTATATACGTTCTTTCCGTCCTTCAGTTGTGTATATACATTCTTCCCGTCCTCCTTCAGTTGTGTATATACGTTCTTCCCGTCCTCCTTCGGTAAAGACCGGGGATAGAATGCTTGCCGAAGAAGGCGACCATGCTTGTCGTATGAGGCGACTAACGGGATCGGATGGTCAGGCTCGCTGACTTGGTTGACGCATGCCATCGTATCCCCATTGCGTGGATCGATGCTCATGATGTCACTCACCTATTATGATATTGAAAATTTGCTATGCTGCTACCACCAAGTTCTGCGCCCGAGGCGGCTCCACTCAGGCTCGCGCACCAAGTTTCTTATCCCAATTGCGTAAATCGATGGTCATGATGTCAATCACTGGATTGTCTGGTCCAGACTCGATTATTTACAAACCGCCGTCATTTGCAATGCAATACCCGCACATGTATGTCAGTTATTCAAAACACGAAGGCAGATAATTACCAAGAAAACATATTCCCTGCTCGACAGTTCGATGCTATCTTCAACAGAGCGTGCCCCATGTACACTATTTGTGGATCTGCCCAGTGAACATAACCGTGTCGGCCTACTGCATGTACCGCCTGGTGGGGGTATCCTGTATGTTCGGCTTCGCACTGGCGGCTGTCCTGCTCCTAGCACAGACTATAGCGGGACATGCGTACGGTAAGCTGAGGTACGTATGTGTGAGAAGCAATCTACGTGAATGTTTTTCTTGTTTGTTTGATTGTTGTTTAACGCCGCACGCAGCAATATGACGGTGGTCTGTAAATAATTGAGTCTGGACAAGACAATCCAGTGATTGATATCATGAGCATCGATCCACAAAATTTTGATACGATGACACGCATCAACCAAGACCGCGAGCCTGACCATCCGATCCCGTTAGTCGCCTCTTAGGACACGCATAGTCTCTCACGGCAAGCAGGGGTTGCTGAAGACCTATTCTACCCCGGATCTTAACGGGTCCTGAGTGAGTGAGTTTGGTTTCACGCCGCTTTGATCAGTACATCAATCAAACAGTACCTTATCAGTTTAAAGCTGAAAGAGTGAGTGAGTGAGTATGGTTTTACGCCGCTTTTAGCAATATTCCAGCAACATCACGGCGGGGGACACCAGATATGGGCTTCACACATTGTACCCATGTTGGGAATCGAACCCGGGTCTTCGGCGTGACGAGCGAACGCTTTAACCACCAGGCTACCCGACCGCCCCTAAAGCTGAAAGAAAGTACAACGTTTGTCTGTTTGTTATTTAACGCTATGGTCAACAATACTAAAGCCATATGACAGCGGTTTGTAAGTAATCGATTCTGGACAAGACAAACCAGTGATTGATATGATGACCAACGGTCAACATGGTCGGGGCACGATGACACGCAATCAACAAAGTAACCGAGCTTGAACACCCGTTCCAGTTGTCTCATATGACCAACGCTGGATACCGGGGACCAATACTGACCCGGAATCTCCAAAGGTTAAAGGTGAAAAGGTACAACGTAACGCAGGATCTGCATGCACGTACTCATGTGTTGCAGACAGTTGATGATAATATCAAGTTAGACATATTTAGGAACTGTTCTAGTCTTTCGCACCATATCTCATGATTCAGGTTCATAAACAGTCCAATGCATGATGCTTTGGTTGTCATGTTTCAAGGATCCAGGTCGGCAAGTGGTCAGACAAGCGAGTGCACGTGATGACCGAGCTGCTGGCGGGCATCAGGGTCGTGAAGATGTACTGCTGGGAGGCGCCATTCAGCTGGCTCATCAACGCCCTCAGAGAGTGAGTCACAACTCTGTCCACACTGCAGACCAGCACTGTGACCATCACGGTCCCCCAGACCTTGTTCATACTGTAGAGATCAGTGTCCCCCTCCATTCACAGCACAGTGACCATCACGATGTTCATACTGTAGAGATCAGTGTTCCCCTCCATTCACAGCACAGTGACGATCACGATCCCCCAGACCTTGTTCATACTGGTGAGATCAGTGTTCCCCTCCATCCCGTCAGTCATACCTACAGCACAGTGACCATCACGATCCCCCAGACCTTGTTCATACTGTAGAGATCAGTGTCCCCCTCCATTCACAGCACAGTGACCATCACGATGTTCATACTGTAGAGATCAGTGTTCCCCTCCATTCACAGCACAGTGACGATCACGATCCCCCAGACCTTGTTCATACTGGTGAGATCAGTGTTCCCCTCCATCCCGTCAGTCATACCTACAGCACAGTGACCATCACGATCCCCCAGACCTTGTTCATACTGTAGAGATCAGTGTTCCCCTCCATTCACAGCACAGTGACCATCACGATCCCCCAGACCTTGTTCATACTGTAGAGATCAGTGTCCCCCTCCATTCACAGCACAGTGACCATCACGATGTTCATACTGTAGAGATCAGTGTTCCCCTCCATTCACAGCACAGTGACGATCACGATCCCCCATACCTTGTTCATACTGGTGAGATCAGTGTTCCCCTCCATCCCGTCAGTCATACCTACAGCACAGTGACGATCACGATCCCCCAGACCTTGTTCATACTGTAGAGATCAGTGTTCCCCTCCATTCACAGCACAGTGACGATCACGATCCCCCAGACCTTGTTCATACTGTAGAGATCAGTGTTCCCCTCCATTCACAGCACAGTGACCATCACGATGTTCATACTGTAGAGATCAGTGTTCCCCTCCATTCACAGCACAGTGACGATCACGATCCCCCATACCTTGTTCATACTGGTGAGATCAGTGTTCCCCTCCATCCCGTCAGTCATACCTACAGCACAGTGACGATCACGATCCCCCAGACCTTGTTCATACTGTAGAGATCAGTGTTCCCCTCCATTCACAGCACAGTGACGATCACGATCCCCCAGACCTTGTTCATACTGTAGAGATCAGTGTTCACCTCCATCCCGTCAGTCATACCTACAGCACAGTGACCATCACGATCCCCCAGACCTTGTTCATACTGGTGAGATCAGTGTCCCCCTCCATTCACAGCACAGTGACCATCACGATGTTCATACTGTAGAGATCAGTGTTCCCCTCCATTCACAGCACAGTGACGATCACGATCCCCCAGACCTTGTTCATACTGTAGAGATCAGTGTCCCCCTCCATTCACAGCACAGTGACCATCACGATGTTCATACTGTAGAGATCAGTGTTCCCCTCCATTCACAGCACAGTGACCATCACGATCCCCCAGACCTTGTTCATACTGGTGAGATCAGTGTTCCCCTCCATTCACAGCACAGTGACCATCACGATCCCCCAGACCTTGTTCATACTGTAGAGATCAGTGTCCCCCTCCATTCACAGCACAGTGACCATCACGATGTTCATACTGTAGAGATCAGTGTCCCCCTCCATCCCGTCAGTCATCTCTACCGTACTCGTGACGATCCGGGGTAGAATAGGTCTTCAGAAACCCATGCTTGCCGTAAAAGGCGACAATGCATGTCGTAAGAGGCGGTGAACGGGATCGGGTGGTCAGGCTCGCTGACTTGGTTTGATGCGTGTCATCGTATCCCAATTGCGTGGTTGAATGTGTCTGGTCCAGACTCGATTATTTACAGACCGCCGTCATATAGCTGGAATATGGCTGAGTGAGGCGTTAAACAACAAACAAACAAACAAACAAACAAACTTAGCCGTCTAGGTCATGTTTATTTAAATTTTCATTTCTGTTAATTTTTGTCCTTAAAAAAATCATTTCATGTTATTGAGGAACCACGTTATATTTCTTCATACTGTCTAATTCCAATTAAACATGACTGGTCTTATTTCAGCAAAGAAGTTCGAGTCTTAAAGTGGTCCTTCGTTCTCCGCTCTCTCAGCATCTACTCGGCCGAGGCAGCCTCTCGTATGATGGCTCTCGCCATATTCGTTGGTCACTGGCTGTGTGGGTATCCCCCGATATCTCTACGCAACGTATTCATTGTAAATGGCTTGCTGCAAGTCATGAACTTCTCCGTGTTCTATTTCTTCTACGCTGCTGTGGAATCACTCACAGAACTTCTATCTTCGCTCAAACGAATCAAGGTGCAGTAAACTACGGTTATAACGAACTCAAAGGGGCCACTAATTTGAGTTCGTTATAACCGTCGTTCGTTATAAGCATATGTACAGCATAGATACAGCAGTTGCCGGGACAAAAAAATAAGTTCGTCATATCCGTTTGTTCGTTATTCACGTAGTTCACTGTAATTCTTTATTTAGGCCTTATTGTTACTTGTCTCTCGATTACTTTCCAAAACCAGATGGTCGGTGGCCGAAATGAAAATTTAGGTAAAAAAATCTTTTCGCGACCTCTTTATAATTCTCGGTTTTTTTAAAAAGAAATACTATTATTTGATAAATTTTGAATTGTTTTAGAATAGTTGGATATTATTGTCAACTGAGATGTATGAAGGCGGTGCCAATCAGGGGGTTAAAGTAGTGTAAAATTACTGTCCCCCTGACAGTGGCACATGAATCCATCTATATTGAAGTAATTAATATCAACTAGTGTTTTAATTCCTTGATTGTGTTTTGATTTTTAATATTGATTAAAATTTCGTACAACCCCTCGTGACCAAAGTGATGGCATAAATCCTGCTGCGAATCATGCAGGAAGCAAAAGCACAGTAAGTCCCCATGATCCCCAGTTAGGTGGTCTAGCTTTGGTTATTAGTGGTCTATAGACATTTTTTAATTGACAAGACTTGTCTATGTATAGCAATATGGTTTTTAAAAATTATGATCTGGTTTGTTTTATCAAAAACTGTGATATACCTTTATTATTTTACTGTCCTTTGTCGACAGATATTTTAAATCTAAGACCTTGTTCCCATCGCTATATGGCTGAAATATTGCCGATGCGATGTAAACTCACTCACTCACACTTACTATTATTCCCTTCTGCTCTTAAACTATGTTACCAAAAAAATTAAAGACCACTCGATTCCTTCATGACTATTGTTAATCTGCCATGACTCCTATTTGAGGATTTTTATTTTGTTTGTTGTTTAACGCCGCACTCAGCAATATTCCAGCTAAATGACGGCGGTCTGTAAATAATCAAGCCTGGACCAGACAATCCTATAATTCATATTATGTACATCGATCCACGCAATTGGGATACGATGACATGCATCAAGCGAGTCAGCGAGCCTGACCATCCGATCCCGTTAGTCGCCTCTTGCGACAAGGATGGGTTGCCGAAGAGCAAATTTTAACCCGGATCTTCAGGGTCCTGTTTGAGGAGTACCACGCGCAGATCATACATACATCACGTGCTTTATTGTTACAGTACCTCAGTTCACTGTAACAGACATCGGTGTCTTCACGCACCTAACTTTCATGCCAGGTCGACATTCGGTATTACTTCCCTACCGTTCACCGAATGTCGGCCTTGCGTGAATGAACCCAATCATTATATTTCGATATGAATAATCATACACTACAAACTGCCTGGCGTATATGTTATGTTACGTTGTTCTTCCCTCAGAACTTCCTTTCAATCGAGATAGAACCACCATCGCCGAACCACATGACACCAGAATCAGACGGTGATGGCGGCTGGTCAATCCAGACAACCAACATGTCAGCATGTTGGGATTATACAAATGAAGCGCCCGAAGAAGGGAAGTTACTGCTGGACACTGAGGTAAGACAGCGACTTGTGTACGTTGAACATTTACATACCTGCTTACTTTCATCATTCGTCTCGGTCAATCATTTCAAAATAACAGCTGGGCATTTATTGTACAGTTGCGTCCCCTGGACATGCAAGGATCCGCTGATCACGGGTTCAAATCCCAGTTTGTCTCATAACGGTGGGGTAGCCTGGTATATAACCAATTCCATAGATATACTTTTTATGGGGATTTCTAATATTAATGCTTTCTAAAGTGCAAAAAAAATGATAGCATTATCCCTTTAAATGTTGAGTGAATTCAACCTGACATGATAATTATACTCTCATTACGTTTATCGTCATCATCATTGTTAATATTATCACTACATATAATCACCATACCGTCACAAACATCTGCCTACTAATATGGCTAACGGCAATAACATTGTTCTCCAAGATAGACGCAGGTGCCTCTTTCTCCCTGAAGGATTTAACTCTGACAATTCAAAAGGTAAGAGCAATAGGAATCTATATGAGTTATTAGGGTATTGGGGACCGCCTCCGTGGTCTAATGGTACAGCGTCCGCCCGGAGAGCGACAATAACATTGTTCTCCAATGCCGCGTCACACCAAAAGACCTTACAGTATAAAAGATGGTTACTTGCTTCTACTCAGCTTGGCGTATGGCAGTAAAGGACTAAAACAAGGACTGGTCGGCTCGGAGTCAGTATACTGTGTCTGAGTGGGGTATTCCTTTTTAAACTGCGGCATGCTATCTCAGTGGGCCTGCACTTAAAAATTAGTCCGGACTAGTACAAGCAGCCACACACACACACAGCTACATGCACATCGCTATGTCAGTGCAATAATCTTGGACGCAACGTTAAACCCCATTTCACCTCACCTATAAGATATTGAAAATTTACTGCTACCACCAAGTTCTGCGCCCGAGGCGGCTCCACCCAGGGTCGCGTACCGAGCTTCTGTTGTTGTTTGTTGTTTAACGACGTGCTCATGATCAATTGAGTCTGGACCAGACAATCCAGCGATTGGCATCATGAGTATCGATCCACGCAAATAGGATACGATGACATACATCAACCAAGTCAGCGAGCCTGATCACCCGATCCTGTTAGTCGCCTTTTACGACAAGCATTGTCGCCTTTTACGGTAAGCATGAGTTGCTGAAGACCTCTATTATCGACAGACCGTCGTCATATAGCTGGAATGTTGCTGAGTGTGGCGTTAAAAACAACAACAAACAAACAAAACTATTTCAAACTAGAAGCGCTTAGATGGTTCAGCTCAACATCAAATATAATCAGAAATGGAAATACATGTAAGTACTGTATACAGCATGCATAAGCGATTTTGTAATATTGATAGAAATCGTTCACATTAATATACTAGTATTTTAATTAATCTCAGTATCATTAGTATGGCAAATGTATTTCTCTCACCAGGGAGAGTTAGTTGCAGTCGTGGGAACGGTAGGCGCGGGGAAGGTAGGTGGCTGATCCATTTCATTGTATTTCCAATATTCTGTCATAATTGGAAATCATTCCGAAAATCTACCCAGTTCATTCTTCGCACGTACTTTACTGTTTGGTGACTAACATGTACAACGGCTAAATTTTCGCCAACAAAAGACGGACCATTTTACAAATATATTATTTATTTTGTACTTATATTTGAATCTTATAACTTATACAGGTAACAGCGATCGGCCCTCGACCTCTTGTTAGTTCTAAGGTCGTCTTCAGATGTGATAATACATAAAATAACGACTAATGTTTTAGCAATCTTAAATCACCATTCACTGATAGAAGTCAATTTTTCAACAGAATCCTGCTTCGTAGTGACTTTAATGGACCTGTATGTTTCAAAATATCAATAAATGGTTTATGGAGGAGTTGGCGAACGGCATGTATGTTTTCAGAAGAAGCTCGACATGATTCGATTTAGGTGATTGTGTTATTGAATATTCTAATTCTCACACATTCTACTCACCTCACTGTGTCTAGACATCCTTGCTGGCAGCGCTGATGGGGGATCTGCCCTCCTCGCACGGGCACATCAGCATCCGTGGTTCTGTCGGCTACTTCTCGCAACAACCCTGGGTGTTTTCCGGAACAGTCCGGGATAACATTGTGTTTGGTGACGAGTTCGACTCCAAGCGGTATGAGAATGTGATCCAGGCATGCGCTCTCACTAGGGTAAGTGTGTTTCATTGAATAAAGAATTCACTGGCCATTCTGAACTGAATGTTAAACAAGTAAAACTATAGGCCATTATGAACACAAATAGAGAAAATATATCATTGGCAGGATCTGTCGATGATGTCGCATGGAGACCAGACCCTTGTGGGGGAGAGGGGGCTGTTGCTGAGCGGGGGACAGAAGGCCAGGATAACGCTAGCAAGGTTGTTGCCTCATGACGTCACAACGTAAAGCCCAATTATTGTTTCCCCGCCTTATTAATATTTTATTGTTGGAATATAAGTGTCATAAAGCCAAACTCAAAGCTAAAGCGGCAATTGAATTTATATTTATATATTTACACGATACAGGTAGACATTGCCTAATGAGCAAATTACCTGGAGGGAGACAATGGGAGGTTCGATACTAAGACAAATGCGAGGTCAATTTTTCGCATTAATTTCCCTTTTGCTTTTATTTCAAGAGTTACAGTAGTATCTCAGAAGTTTTATGTGTTTTTTTTGTTTGTTTGTTGTTTAACGTCGCACTCAGCAGTATTCCAGCTCTTTGACGGCGGTCTGTAAATAATCGAGTCTGGACCAGACAATCCAGTAACTGACATCATTAGCATCGATCACTGTAGACCATACATAATGCAATGAATTCAAGTGGAACGTTGATCAATTAATCGTTTTGCTTCAGCTGAGCTGCAAACGTTTTGGGTGTTATTTAATATATAATAGAACAATAATGGACCTGTTGTATGTTTAGATCTGTGTATAGAGACGATGATGTCTACCTACTCGACGACCCGCTCAGTGCTGTTGACCCCAAAGTGGGTAAACATATATTTCACAGGTATAGTAGATATATGTTTACGATTAATAATGTCATGCTGCTGTGATAACGTGCCTTGTTCTTGTCTGTGCGGAAACTAGAATGCGGATCGTACGGCCACAATGTGAAACCCAGTCCACACTGCAGTTCGCAGCGTTACGGTCTATGTTATATGTCTATGAACTATGCCTCCTTGATTACCTTTCTTGTCTTCAAGCCATTAAGAATATTTCATATGAACATCCACTTTTACACGAAATTATAGAATTATTTAATGATCTTGCTACTGGCCAATATGACATCATCTTTTGTTGCTTACCAAGCCATGTTGGTATCATTGGTAACACAATGGCCGATGCTGCTGCAAAAGCAGCACTCAACAAATCTGTGACACCACTTCTAATCCCATACACTGATTATAAACCTGTAATCAGATCTTACATCCGAGATCTAATGCAAAATAAGTGGGACACCCAGGTAGGTACTAATAAATTACATGAAATTAAACCACATATTTGTTACACCTACTTGGGCTGTCAGTCCAGATTTGAAGAGGTCATTATGCGACGATGTCGTATTGGCCATTCCACATATACGCATGAGTATTTATTGAAAGGTGAGGATCCTCCGTTTTGTATCACTTGTGATGAAAGAATTACGGTCAGGCATGTCCTGCTTGGCTGTATTGATTTTTCCATCACAAGGGATAAAATTTTCAGTGTTAAAACGGTCAAGGACCTTTTTAATGACGTTAATTATCATTTAATATTATGCTTTTTAAAAGAAATAGAACTTTTTCATAAATTTTGATGTATTTAGGGTATTATTTTATAAATTGGTAGTGCTTATTTATATCTGAGATTGTTAGTGGCTGTACCCTCGAGGGGGGTTGAAGTAGCGTACAATTATTGTCCCCCTAAGAGGGTACATCATTCGAAGTATTTTTATGCATGCCAGAATTTTAAAAAGTTACTGTAGTATTTTCGTCATTTTAACATAAGGCTTAACTGGTATACTATCGCCAGTGACTGAAGGGATGGTGTAAATCCTGCCAGGGTCCATGCAGGAAGCAAAGGCACTGTAAGTCCCCATGGTCCCTGGTATGGTGATCTCCCTTTAGTTACTGATGATCTCAAGCCCATTTTTATATTTTGATGTCAACTCATTCTTTCTCCTTTTAAATGTGCCTCAACTAGTTTTAAATCTAATCTGTGATATGCTAGTTATCGTACTGTCCTTCGATGACAGGTTTTTATAAAGTTTAAATATATGCCTTATAAATGTCTAAGTTCTCGTCACGATATGGCTAACATATTGCCGATGTGACGTTAAATATTAACTCACTCACTCACTCCCTTGTCCAGTTGTAGTGCGTCCGCCCGGAGAGCGGAAGGTCCGGGGTTCGATCCTCGGATAACTGTAAAGCATAATATGCAAGATGTGGCCTTACTGCGTACTAGACCGCCACCGTAGTCTCGTGGTAGAGCGTCTGCCCGGTGAGCGGAAGGTCCGGGGTTCGATCCTCGGATAACTGTAAAGCATAATATGCAAGATGTGGCCTAACTACGTACTAGACCGCCACCGTAGTCTCGTGGTAGAGCGTCTGCCCGGAGAGCGGAAGGTCCGGGGTTCGATCCCTGGCGCCCGGCATTAAGGGGCTGAAGCGAGGACTGGTCAGCTTGGAGTCAGTACACTGTATCTGAGTGGGGTATTCGTGTTAAACTGCGGAATGGCAACCAAGTGGGCTAGCACTATAAAATCGGTATTAGTCCGAGGTAATACAAGCAGCCACACACACACGTGCATGCACGACGCTATATAAGTGCAATAATCTTGGATGCGACGTTGAACCCGATTTCACCTCACCTCTATGAACGCTAGGACGTCACAGTATACCTGTGGCGTGGACCATTGCTCATACTATCAACCATTAGTTGAAGTATTTACAGGATATGGTGATATGTTGCAGACTATGGCGTGAAACGGTCACTGTCATAGTAGTCAAAGGAAATGAATATAAATTAATCTCTAATGTTCACATGTCAGCCCCCGGGGTTTCCAAAACCTCTTCGTATCGTCGTAGCCCTACGGAGTAGGACGTTGGTCACAATGTCAGTCACAGGTTTGTCTGGTCCAGACTTGAAAACCGTGATATGCTGACATAGCCCTTGGTGCGGCGTTAGACAAACATGACAGGATTATATATACTCACCGTCAAAAGAAACGCGAACCATAGAAACATATAGAGAAGTATGTCCATTAAGAAGAGATGTTTCCAATGTGCACCACTTAATGACAAAACTAACAGTCAGTCATGTGTTACCACAGAGTGTCTTTATTCTTATCATTATATGCTGCACGTGATGTCCAAACTTACCGGCTGATCCCGCACGAGACAAATAGTGCATCTCGAGTCATGGATCTGTGACGTCACATGTGATGCGTTCATGAGCGTCGGTTCACACAACATACAAGTATGTCCATTTGTACATCGAACCATTATCTATTATCTCTTTAATACGCTTATGTGTTTCCTGTGTTGTATTTTCCAGTTGTATATGTGATGTTCTGCAGAGTAAAACACGCGTACTCGTAACTCATCAGCTTCAGTACCTCAAATTCGTTGACCGGATCGTTGTGATGAGTGAGGTGAGAAAACCTATATCACAATAAAGTTGTTTTTTTTCATGACGCCAACATCAGCTGTGTCACGTCTTAATGTGTGTGGAAAGCGCAAAGTGGCGCAGGTCATTTACGTTAACCCCTATTAAAAGCACGAACAAGGGTTTAGTAGTCAGAGATCAAGGATAACAATCTTGGATTCGAACCGCGTACCCGGGCAGCCAAGGTACGCAACTCTGCAGAACAGGTAGCAGCGGCTTAGACCAATGAACCGCAATGCCTTACTTACTTACTTACTTATATTGGAGATTTAACGTGCGCTTCCGACTGCAACGTATGTCGCACACGGTGCAATGCCATCAATCATATCCTAATATAAATTTTTATATAGAGCAAGTGATTCCGTGGTATGTGATTGGCTAACAAAACACTTACGTATTCGTTTGTGTCTCAATAAACCGATGAAATAGGCCACGCCCACTAACGGAATACTGTTACCTGATTGGTTGATAACAGAATGGGCAGGGTTTGTGGTGCATTATTGCAATGAACGAAGTCACTAATTATGTATTGTTGTCTGCAGTGTTTGTGAAGTTATATATGTTGACGTATATACTGATAAGCATTAATTTCAATTATGTTTTTGAGTTGAAACGGAAAAAAACCTATTGAAGTCAATTCTTGAACATTTCAATTGGAAACAATACTAAAAATTGTCAATTATGGGAAAATTGTCATTTGAAGGCCAGCTTAGTGTACATTTAGATATTATCTTTTAAAAAAATATTCATTTGACTATTTTCAGGGTCAAATATTGGACATCGGAAACTATGATGAACTCTTATCCCGCGACCTTGACCTCTCAGTCATCATGTCGGTAATGACAGACGAACCAAATGACCCGGATGTCCCTTACAGTAACGACAAGGATGAGAAAATCAAGTTTAAGGTAGGGTTGTCATGAATTGGGAATTGTAATATCAACATAATAAGGCCAGTTAAAATATTAAATGAAAAGTTTTTATTGTTTGTTTTATTGCTGTAGTAGGTTCTCATTCATCACTCTATTGGCCACGCCAGCTGTGGATCAAGTATGAAAGATGAACAGCCCTAAGTTCACCACTGCTAGGTTTACCTCCAAAAGTATAAATGACCTGAACGTCAAAAACCGTTACGGTAGTAAAAATGAATTTAAAAATTTTGGTTAATATCTTTTTTGACAACTTATTTAATTTTGTTAAATACAATTTAAGTTCATAAGAATCAAGCAAAGGTAACCAAATTCCATTTAAAACAAGCATTTTGATTTTGCACATTAATGAAACAAAACAAATTGGTACGGATTTCAATGTTTCAGATGTTTTAGCCCCTTAATGCCGAGCGCCAGAGAGATAACAACAAGTACCATCTTTTAACGTCTTTCGACGCGGCCGGGGATCGAACCCTGGACCTTCCGCTCTCCGAGCGGACGCTCTACCACCTGCCACGGAGGCGGTCCAGTACATATTTCATATTATGCTTTACAGTTATCCGATACAGCGGAAGAACTGGAAGAGGAACAGAGAGGCACAGGGTCTATTGGTCTCCACCTTTACCTTCAATACTTCAAGGCTGGACACGGAGTCATCCTTCTGCCCCTCATTACTCTGCTCTGTGCAACCTACCAGGTAAGTAACATCTTCCCGAGGCAAGGGGGTAAACTCACTGTAAAAGTCCAGTTTCCACCCTTGCCGAACTAGTCTGGGAGGAGTTATATCTTGGCTGGACTAACGAGTCTATGCAAAGTCCAGTCAAATTCGCGTAAGAAAATCGACATCCGGTTCGTCAACTGCCATGCAGATTTCGATCGACCGCATGATTTGCAAAGCATGTGTACCACCCACTCTGCGCTAACATATATTTTCCAAATCTTTTTTGTCCTTTGGATTCGAACTCATATATGTCAAGGTCATGTGTTCGCTGCTCGTTCCCAAGTCGGTCAAAGTTTCTTGTTTGATTGTTGTTTAACGTCGCACTCCGCAATATTCCAGTCGGGTAAAGGAATAGTCTTGGCATACTTTTCAGGCATACTTTTTCAATTGTATTTTTAGCACAGTTGAACTTTTTAAGGGACCGACCATTTGTTATTCTCTGGAGTTGGTTTAATACCGCTTTGAATTGTATTTCAGTTATATCACGGTGTTCCAACTTGATTTGTAAGCCTAAGGTGTTGCAGATCTTAAAGAGTTTGGCACTTTGGTGAAAACAAATAGCACGGTATGGCGCCGACAAACATGAAACATAATCAGGGTGAATCTGGGACTCGAAACCACGATGAAAGGTTTCTGACACGACTTGGGAACGCAACTCTGCGCAGCAAATTGTGTGTGACGCCTGCTCCTCCCGTGACATTCGGATCGCATGTTCCAGCCAGGGGCACGTGTGGCCCAGTCGTCTGAGGCGCCGCGATTCGCCGTGCAGAGTTGCGTCCCTTGGGAACGCAAGAAAGCTATGATTGTTCGCCCCAATTATGTGTTTAGGTTTGTCAGCACCATGCCCCTTCTTCGACTTGCATCATGTCATGCTTTTCTTGAGCATTAAGATGACGCGCCGTGGCATAGTGTTGAACGCATGTTACACCATGTTCGGCGTGAACTGGGTGTATCATTCAACAGGGGGTATTATTGGTTTGTAATCGCTTTTCATCTTCTCTTGAGGTGGAAAAGGATTATTATTGGTTTTGTTTACTCATTTTCATGTTGTAATGCAAATGTGTATGGTACTAGTATTAGAAATATTATGTTTCACTAAAATATGCTTTCAGAGTATGTATGCCTTCAGTGACTGGATGTTAGCACAGTGGTAAGTTCAAATTAATGTCAAAAGGTCTTCTTCAAAAACAACAATTGTTGACATACGTCACATCTGATATATTCAATTGTGTTTCTGCGTGTACTAACAACCTATATGTTTACCTTTAGCTATCAATATGTTTACCTTCAATTACCTATGTTTATCCTCAATATTTGTATGTTTATCCTCAATATTTGTATGTTTACCTTCAACTTTGTATATGTTTACCTTCAACTAGCTATTTGTTTACCTTTAACTATCTAAATGTTTACCTTTAACCATTTGTTGACCTTTAACTATCTGAATGTTTACCTTTAACCATATGTTTACCTTTAACTTTCTAAATGTTTACCTTCAACTATATGTACTATATGTACTGTATATTACCTTCCCGTTGTTTATCTTACTGGCCTCAAGATTTCGGGGTAGAATAGGTCTTCAGCAACCCATGCTTGCCGTAAAAGGCGACTATGCTTATCGTAAAAGGCGACTAACGGGATCGGGTGGTCAGGCTCGCTGACTTGGTTGATGCATGTCATTGATCCCAATTGCGTGGATCGATGCTCATGATGTCAATCACTGTATTGTCTGGTCCAGACTCGATTATTTACAGACCGCCGTCATATAGTTGTAATTTTGCTGAGTGTGGCGTTTAATAACAAACCAACCAACCAACCAACTGGCTTCATCCTTTGTTTATCTCACTGACTTCACCGATGATTGTTACCACTACCCCTGTGTGTACATAACAGGCTTCTCTACTCCAGTATAACAATATCTACTCTGGTGTATAAACATTGCCTCCTACTTGTATATATACTTGTCAACCACACTCTGTATATCACTTGCTTGATAACGGTGTTAGAAACGAAACGCCTCTCTTAATTGCAATAAAGAAGTTGTTCATCCATAAATTCTTATCCTTTAACTAGTACTCCAACTTCTAAATGCCTATCAAAGAAGAAACTATATGTATGTTTACTTTTAACTATCTAAATGTTTACCTTCAACTATATGTATGTTTACCTTCAACTATATGTATATTTACCTTTAACTATCTAAATGTTTACCTTTAATCATATGTTTAATTTCAACTATCTAAATGTTTACCTTCACCTATATGAATATAAATGTGTATAGCTATAACTATCGTAAGGGTTTGTCTTTAGCTAAATGTATGTACAGCTTTAACTATCGTATATGTTTATCCGTTACTATGCATATGTTTTAAATTACCTTTAATTCTCTTATGTTTACCTTTCGTGTTTACATATCAAACACACGTAATTAAATCTTTCAGGTCTGAGGATTCATACTTAGCCTATATGGTCGATGTCAACATGTCCTCGAATAGTTCCGTAAACCTGAATAGTTCCCTGGCGACACGTCACTGGAACACAATGGAGCCGGAGGTGAAGAAGTATATACTGTCCGTGGTTGCGTATGTGTTTGTCATGCTCGTATATGGCATTCTCGTGTTCCAAATGACGGTGCTGGCGTCGCAGAACCTGCATAATAAGATGTTCCGATTTATTCTTGGATCCAGAACTAGATTCTTTGATGAAAATCCTGTGGGTGAGTTATATGACTGAGATTAGATTTTTTGTATTATTTCTTATTTCTTATGGATGGATGGATGCATGATGAAAATCTTGTGGATGAGTTATACATCTTCCCGAGGCAAGAGAGTTAACCGACATTAAAAGTCCAGTTTCCACCCTTGCCGAACTAGGCTGGAATTCCTGGGCTCGATCGTAGCGCCACCAGTGGCTATTACGAGTTATGTCCTTTCTATGCCTCTCCTATTGACCAATCAGATTCAACCTCTCGTATCACTTGCATTTGCTTCAAACAAAACGGTGGCGCCCAGTCAAGACGATCTGATCGATAATCAAGATCTATATTGTAATAAAACGAGTCTTCCATCGCGAAGTGCATCAGATCACGCGAGCGCCTTGATTTAAAACATGAAAAGATTTGGAAAATATCTGTTGACAACGAGTAAGCGGTGCACATGCTTTGCAAAACCTGCAGTCGACCGAAATCTGCATGACACTTTACGAACCGGGTTTCGATTTCGGTGCACGATTTTGATTGGACTATGCATAGACTCGTTAGTCCAGCCAAAATGTAACTCCATAATACCAGCCTAGTTCGGCAAGGGTGGAAACTGGACTTTTATAGTCAGTTAACTCACTTGCCTCGGGAAGATGGAGTTATATGACTGAAATTAGAGTTTATTTTAGGTATGTACATGTATGTATGTATGTATGTGTGTGTGTGTGCGTGCGTGCGTGCGTGCGTGCGTGCGTGCTTGTGTGTATGTATACCCTCAGTCCCTTGCGATCAACCAAGTACATTTCATATTTGAAAACACCGACTCAGAGATAAATAAATGTCTTGTCATGGCATGATTAAATTTCAATGACAAAATGTCTTCACCCGTGAAAAACTTTTTTCATTTGCGTATTTATTTTTTGTTCACAATATTTGACCGGTTCCACGTCATCAAGCACCAATAGCCAATTTGATACGGTCAGTTTGATGTGTAAAGATATATTCTCCTAATCAAAGGTCGCGATTGTAGTAAGATATCTTTATGATGTCGCCAGACAATCTGGAAAACACACTGAAACATTTCAAGTACATACTGCTCTGACTCCAGTTAAAGGCGACTATGCTTGTCGTAAGAGGCGACTTACGGGATCGGGTGGTCAGGCTCGCTGACTTGGTTGATGCATGTCATCGATCCCAAATGAGTGGATCGATGCTCATGATATTGATCACTGGATTGTCTGGTCCAGACTCGATTATTTACAGACCGCCGACATATAGCTGGAATATTGCTGAGTGTGGCGTTAAAAACCAACAACGAACAATCATCAATACTTACAGCCCAGACAACAAACAAACCAAACCAAAACATGCGCCTTGGCTTCCAAACAAGTCAATAGACTTGGGGACATCGACCATAAAGTGCTGACGTCATGTGTGTCTGCATAAATCAGTTCATTTGGGATAATTAAGATACAAATATAGATACATTTAGGGATTCTTTATGAGACTTAGCGACTGGGAGCACTGAAATTATGACAGAATCACTTATTTCAAACATCTAGTCACTCTGAATACAATATAGGGATAGCGAATACTATGGTAATGTATTTTATCTTTCCAGGTCGCATTCTCAACAGATTTGCTCGAGATATCGGTTTAATAGATACTTCATATGGAACCCATTTCTCAACGATTGTAGAGGTTGGACGTTAACGTCTTTTGAATACTGTTCTACAACACATTATACATATACCGGTATATTACCGTTTTTCCTCTATTAGACGCCTGTCTTCAAAAATACGCCGGCCTATATTAGGCGCCGGGTCATACTCTCTGCCCTAAAATAGAAGCCAGTGTGAGAAGATAAGCTCACTTTCCAGGATGAAATCCATCTTGAGTGATGTTATCGTAGGATGAAATCATTTCCCTTACGATCATAACACATCCGTTTGCAGGACGAAAACACTCCACAAGATAAAAAACATTCCCCAGGATAAAAACACCCCCCCTTATAGTTTCTGCATACACTATTGGCGATTAGCAGCGCTTTACCCTAATTAATTACTTATCCAAACCTTTAAATTGGCTATATATACAGTTGTAATACTTCATTTTATAAGTCAATATTTAATAACAAATACTATGCTCGATCAAATGAGCATTGAAAGATATTTATCAATAAAAGGTAAATACGAAAATTCCTTGAGAAAATTGACACTTTATATAACCTATGGCTTGTTATCTAATCCATATACCTATACATTTTGTGTATATAACGTATACTAGTGTTTAATGAAACATTGTTCAACTCAAATCAGTCAGTCGTTAAGATTAACACTATGACGGTGGCTTGGTAGACTTCCGATCCTCCCCATTAATGGCCACTGATTTTCCAACTCTCCCATCGTTTCTAATATTTGACATAACTCCACCACCCACCCAACCACCAAGCCGCTAACAATGCTATTAAAATTAAGTTACGCATTACTGCTGATTGTAGTAAATAATTGTAAGATAAGTAACAATATACAACAAGAATCAATACAGGTTATTACAAATTGTATTTAATCCATATGCAAGTACACATTCCATTAATCATATACTCACACGTGTCATGATGCTATCTATGCAATCAGTAATGACTGAAGTATTTATCCCCTGCTTTACCAATATGCTGGAAGAATATCAGCCCAGGTATACCATTTAAAGGATAAATTGGTAGACTTTACATTTATTCCCCAGCATGTCAATATAACAACCATAAAATACACATAATAAACAAAGCCGTATTTAACAAATCATACAAAACATAATTCGTCAACATATGAATACCACTCAAACACACACGATACAGTGGTAACACCTCTGTTGATTATTACTGTGGCATTGTGCACCTCATTTTGAGTTATACTATTTCCAATTCAAAACATGATTATGTATTTTGCAATCTTTCCGGCCTGGGGGGAGGGGAGTAATTTGATCCTAAGGGGTATTGATATATAAGAAAGGGAATGTTTCACTGTAGAGTGTGTCAGTTCCAGGATGAGGTCTCTCTTGAGTGAAATTTACGGGGATTGATTTAATCCAGCTACACCGGGCTTCTATTGGACGCCAGGTCTCTAATGGGGCCTTGATGAAATTTATTATTCTGTCACATTAACATGTAATGATGACCCCCTGACCGTTTCCTGCAAATGTACCCTTAGTGTGACTGTAGAATTTGGGAATCGGTAAGGTAGTGAATTGCCACTGTGCCAGAATTAAAAAGAATATACATGTACGTCGGATCAAAGGCTTGCGCGAAATTAATAGACGCGCGGGCGCCTTATAGAGGAAATGCGGTATATAAATAATCTGTACAGTAAAGTAATGTTTACTGGCAAGTGTGATTCAAGTAATCCCCAACCCACAATGATTTCATGATGTACATCAATCTGACAGTTATCATTGTTCCACCGAGATAATGTATAAGTTACAAACGAAACATTAATTACATATACACGTCTAGACCTAGTCAACCGGCCGTGGAGCATATATAGTCACCATTTACTAAACAGAAAACCGTTTCCATGTCATCAACAAATATAAACTGGAAACTAATAAAAGTAAAACCTTCTTGGTGAAGTTTACCAAGATATCTAAAGTATGTTTCGTTTCCTTTTTGCAGCAATTCTTTCAGTTATTGGTGTTGCTCAGTATTACTTTGATTGTCTCCCCTTGGTTGTTGATACCAATTGCACCATTGCTAGTGTTCCTGGTGTGCATACGATATTACGCCGTGCAGACAACACGAGATATTCGAAGACTTGAAGGAATTGGTAAGTTGGCGTCAGTATAGTCACCAGTTCCTTCTGCCAATAAGTTTATTGTCCCAAATATCCTATGGTTGTCGTTATGGGCGATATGTCATAATACCCCGACGCCGTTGGACGTAGCTCATTTTATCAACCACTGGTTTATCTGATCCAGACTCGAATATTTACAGGTTGTCGGAACATTGTTTTGCTTAATACCGTTTCAACAGTAAGCACTATCTCAGTCTTCCACAACAATATCGATGATATGCTATATGTTATGGACCCGTGAAGATCATGGGTAGAATAGGTCTTCAGCAACCCATGCTTGCCGTAAAAGGCGACTATACTTGTCGTAAGAGGCGACTTACGGGATCGGGTGGCCAGGCTCGCTGACTTGGTTGATGCATGTCATCGATCCCAGTTGCTTGTGTCAATGCTCTTGATATTAATCACTGGATTGTCTGGTCCAGACTCGGTTATTTACAGACCGCCGTCATATAGCTGGAATATTGCTGAGTGTGGCGTTAAACAACAATCAACGTACAATCATCAATACTTACAGCCCAGAGTCCCGTCTTCTCCCACGTGTCCGACACAATTAATGGCCTTCAAACAATCCGAGCCATGGGGAAACAAGAGCAGGTCTACACCACCTTCGCCTCCTTCCAGAACACTCACACAAGTGCCTGGTTCCTCTACATCTCTGCCTACCGCTGGTTCAGCATGCGGTCGAGCTTCTCTCTTGCTCTCTACACCATCATAGTCATCGCTGTGTGCATCGCGCTAGGAAACAGTAAGTCCTGCTTCTCTCTACCTCTCTACACCATCATAGTCATTGCTGTGTGCATCGCGCTTGGAAACAGTAAGTCTTGCTTCTCTCTGGCTCTCTACACCATCATAGTCATCTCTGTGTGTATCGCGCTTGGAAACAGTAAGTCTTGCTTCTCTCTGGCTCTCTACACCATCATAGTCATCGCTGTGTTCATCGCGCTAGGAAACAGTAAGTCCTGCTTCTCTCTACCTCTCCACACCATCATAGTCATCGCTGTGTGCATCGCGCTGGGAAACAGTAAGTCCTGCTTCTCTCTTGCTCTCTACACCATCATAGTCATCGCTGTATGCATCACGCTAGGAAACAGTAAGTCTTGCTTCTCTCTAGCTCTCTACACCACCATAGTCATCGCTGTGTGCATCACGCTAGGAAACAGTAAGTCCTGCTTCTCTCTGGCTCTCTGCACCATCATAGTCATCGCTGTATGCATCACGCTAGGAAACAGTAAGTCTTGCTTCTCTCTAGCTCTCTACACCACCATAGTCATCGCTGTGTGCATCACGCTAGTAAACAGTAAGTCCTGCTTCTCTCTGGCTCTCTGCACCATCATAGTCATCGCTGTGTTCATCGCGCTAGGAAACAGTAAGTCTTGCTTCTCTCTGGCTTTCTACACCATCATAGTCATCGCTGTATGCATCACGCTGGGAAACAGTAAGTCTTGCTTCTCTCTGGCTCTCTACACCATCATAGTCATCGCTGTGTTCATCGCGCTAGGAAACAGTAAGTCTTGCTTCTCTCTGGCTCTCTGCACCATCATAGTCATCGCTGTATGCATCACGCTAGGAAACAGTAAGTCTTGCTTCTCTCTGGCTCTCTACACCATCATAGTCATCGCTGTGTGCATCGCGCTAGTTCTGTTTGTGATCCATTGCTGCTCCTTTGTTTCATGTACTCGACCTTTATAAATTCTCGGGCAAGGATTCAGCCCCCACCCCTTTCCACCAGAATATCAAATGATCGGTCTCTTAAGATTCATAAAACTATATGCTCGTAATCGCGAATTATAAAGGTTGACTGATAAATTTCTAAGCCTCACAAAGAAGGATACACGTAATTTTAAAATACTGTTTGTGGACATCACATGATGACATACAGATACATCCACGTAAACCGGAGTCAGCAGGTGTTTGTGACCGTTGGAAAATGGACACACGCGAGGAACGTCCAGGAACGCCCAAACAAATTTACAGTTGAAACAGTGGAATCATTTCACATCATCAACACCAAAGTCGGCAAAGACGGTCCTATCACCTGGGATGTCGAGGGTTTTCACGGCGGACTATCTTCCAAAGGGCCAGACAATAAACGGAAACATATATTTTGCTGACTTTTGGGGCAATCACAGGATGAAGACTAAGACTAGCGAGGGACGTGGGAAGCTGAGAGAAGGTGTGCTCTTCCTTCACGACATTGCGTCAGTGCACACATCAGCCGCTGCCAGTGTGGCTTGGAACTCTATCAGCACTCACCTTATAATCCCGATCTGACACCGTCAGACTTCCATCTGTTCCTAAACATGAAGAAATCTCTAGTTTGAACCCAATATGACTCGAACGATGACGTCATAGCAGCTTTGGATAACCTTCAGGACAATTAAGATGACTTCTACAAAACTGTGATAAAATCGCTCAAACAAACATGTAGTTGGCAAACGTGTGTCAATGTCAGTACATCCCCCCTCGTACCTTAATTTGTTATTAACTCGTATTGGTCCTGTAATATTTGGAGTGTTAGTATCAGGTATGGTATGGTCAGATTCAGATTAATTTGTACATAATTTACAGACGAATCAGTGCATACACACAAATAATATTGTTTATCCTACCATGAATTTGGAAATTACTCGATTCCGATTGGTCAATTAGGCGCTATTAAATCACAATAAACCCCCTCTGATTGAAACTAAGTTAGGCAGCCAAGTGCGAAAGACGAGCTGATACGAGGATGTATGTTTTCTGGTGATCATAGTGAAACAATGACATATGGCGCCCGAGTTGCGAGTGATCGAAAATAGGTTTGTTGAATAGATTTGCTGCCCATGAAAACGTTTCAACAATTTTGATTGAATCTACATGTACTTACTCTTGGGTGGTGTTACGTTAGAATAATCTTGTTAATTGTTAAGAAATAATAATGATGCCCGATATTGAGCGATGTCAATTTGAGTATTGTTAGGGATGTTTAGCGATCTTTCACATTTTGTCCTTTGAAAATGTACGATGGCCTGATAATTCCCTGCCGTAAAATGTAAGTTAATGTAAGTGTTAATATATGTACATTTCTTCATGTTGTACACTAGTAAGTGGTTGTTGCAGATATACCGCGGGTGCTGCTAGCCCTGTCATTGTCCTACTGTTCTGCGATTCCAGAACCATTTGAATACTTCATGAGAACATCAGCTGAAATTGAAAATATTGTAAGTCACACAATCCTTTTTTTCTAGGTGATTCTGAAAATTGTATAATTGACAACTGGACATTCACTACTTAACTGGTCCGTTATCTGTTGATTGTTTTTCATCTTATGGGTATATTGGTCAACAATAAGTCCCCACAGTAAGTGCAAAGTTGAGCTAAGATCACTTTGTGGACCGGTGCCCTGAACCACATGCTTGTCATAGTGGGTGAGTGAGTTTTATTTTACGCCGTTTTAGCAATATTCCAGCAATATCACGGCGGGGGACACCAACAATGGGCTTCACACATTGTACCCATGTCGGGAATCGAACCCGGGTTTTCGGCGTGACGAGCGAACGCTTTAACCACTAGGCTACCTGATCGCCCCGATGCTTGTCATAATTGTTGACTACAATGGGGAACGGGTGGTCTGATCTGTACTTAGGCCCACTGTATGTCATCCTACCCGATGGCTTTGATATTTGCTCATGCTTACAATCACTGGTTTGCTTGATCCAGGCTCGATTATGTACAGGGCTTCGGCTGCAATATCCTGACATTTGCGTGAAACAACAGTCACCCATGAACGCATACCAGATATTATGAATGCTAACCCATTGATAAATCACCCGGTGTGAGATGTATGAGCAGATATAGAATACATACTGGATCTGGCCGTCCCACAAAGTAATAGTAGTCTCAAGACGATTGTAACTGGCATGCTGCAGCATTGACTTGCGATAATCGTATCGCAAAGATCGGACCCATGAAGAACCAGGGTAGAATAGGTCTTCAGCAACCCATGCTTGTCGTAAGAGTCGACTATGGTTGTCGAAAGAGGCGACTAACGAGATTGGGTGGTCTGGCTCGCTGACTTGGTTGAATCATGTCATCGTATCCCAATTGCGTGGAACGATACTTATAATATCAATCACTGGATTGTCTGGTCCTGACTCAATTATTTACAAACCGCCGTCATATATCTTGAATATTGCGGAGTGCGGCGTTAAACAACAAACATAAAAAACAAATAAAGCTAAGATCGCCTTGTGGAGCCCATCCGGTGTGGTTCACAGAGAACTGTTTTAATGCCCAATGCTATCCTTACTCCTGTACTTTAACGTAGCCTTCCTGGTTCCTGGGGTATCTATTATCTTCTTACATTGTATACCACAAAGTTATTCTTTACATGAATAAGCACACTATGTGAAATCTTACGTTAGTGTCATTACGGCAGAGAATTAAGGGCACATGTAGTTATTTCAAAAGACATGGCGTATCTCGCACCAGATGACCTCTGTGGAACGCATAGTATCCTACACTACCCTAGAACAAGAAGGACCGGTTACCACGGCAACGCCACCTCCACCAACGTGGCCATCCTCGGGCTGCATCACCTTCACAGACGTCTGTCTTCGATACACAGCGACCGGTGCCATGGTTCTCAAACATCTCAACATACATATAGAAGCAAGGGAGAAGGTAGGTTTGTCGTGGGACACATATTTTGTTTGTTGTTTAACATCGCATTTACCAATATTGCAGCTATATGACGGCGACCTGTAAATAATCTGGAATAGTCTGGAGAGAGAGACAATCCAGCGATTGGCATCATGAGCATCGATGCACGCAAATGGGATACGATGACATGCATCAACCAAGTTAGCGAGCCTGACCACCCGATCCCGTCAGTCGCCTCTTACGACAAGCATGGGTTGCTGAAGACCTATTCCAGGGTCTTAAAGGGCCGAAGACATAATTGAGTGGCTTTAATAGCGTGTTCATATTTTATATTCCTCAGGGCTTAAACGAACTCATCATCGTTGGACCATATGGATCGAAATGTTTGAAATGAAGGAAATAGGCCCACATCGTTATATCGTTGTGATACCAGATTCGTGATTTACATTGATTTGATGTTATTAAAAATGCAAACTTCTTCCAGGTCAATTTAGTCTGAGGTCGTTGAAGTAGGTTAATGGTTAGCTCGTCACATCGAAGACCCGGGGTTCGATTCCCCACATGGATCCAACGTGTGAAACCCATTTACGGTGTCCCCCGCCGTAATATTGCCGATATATTGCTGAAAGAGACGTAAACGAACAAATCCCTGACTCACTGTTATGTGTTTCGCCAGATAGGCATAGTAGGACGGACGGGGGCAGGCAAGAGTTCTCTCCTAGCGGCACTTCTCCGACTGGCCGAACCTGAGGGCGCTATTATCATTGACGACATCAACATCACCGACATCGGATTGCATGAACTACGGCATAAACTGTCTGTCATACCTCAGGTGGGTCCATTGTAGCAGTATGAGCTTATATACCGCATTTCTACTATATTAGGAGCTCATGTCCTAACGCGGACCGTATTAGAGCCCAGGGCCACGTTCCACAAATTCATCTTAGCACTAAGATGATCGTAACTCCCATACTTGAACAGTGGCTTACGATAACCGAAGCCCTAAGATTGCTTTGTGGAACGGGGCCCGGGCTGTATGTCTTTCGTATCTGTGACGAAATGGAACGGCTAAGTTCACTAAACTTTTGTTATAAACCATTGTAATTGGAGGTGATCCGGCCCTTACCAGAGACCAAGCCTATCCCTGGACCCAGCCCTTTATAGACACCGACACTTAATAGAGAAAATACGGTAATCAAATAAACTTATAAAAAGGATTTGGGAAAGTTTATGACGTTTGTTCAGATTATCTGGATTTGAAGACATCAGACAGACCATTGTTTTGACGCTGGAGTATCATTTAAAAAAAACGACGTTTTGTTTTGAGTAATGCACCACACACAAAAAAGCTAAATATATATGAGCAACATTGGGCATATGAGTTACATTATAGGTTAAACCATAACATAAAATACGTGTATAGAGATAATACAAGCTTTTTCTAAAACTTCGTATTCTGTGACGCTGACGCCAATGTCAACGTGAAGGAGGGAAATACATGTTATTGATTTGAATGAATGAATTTCACTTTTCGAGTTAATAGCTTTAGTTTATCACATGGTTTGTACATCCGTCTCCGTGAAACGAGAGAAGATTATATGAGCTTGTTAAAACTGCCTGGTGAGTTACTCCGCATGGTAATAAATGCAATGACAAATAAAACAGGGCTGACACAACCATTGTAACAACCGAAATCTTGGGAGTGTAGTTTACGAAATGACTTCATTTGGTTTTATACACAGAGGTTATTGAATTCTGTTGGTGTTTATGTTGTAGGACCCCTTCTTGTTCAGTGGAGATCTGCGAAGGAACCTAGACCCATTCCAGGAGTTTCCTGACAGTCTCATATGGGATGCTTTACACCAGGTTCCGAATCCAGGATTTCTGATACATAGAACACCTTGATGTAAAGTCGACATGTTATCTCTTGAGATGAACACATTTCGAGACAACTGTATGCTCGAGGTTCACTAATGTCCGTCTTGGGGCCCATTTGATGATTAATTATATTCGTGTACCTCGTTACGAACGAAAGAACGATTTATTCAGTGTTTATATTCTTTCGCTGGTTCGACAGGTCCAGATTCGAACTTTGATGAGTGGGCATCAAATTTAAGTTCTTTTGAAGGTCCAACTGAGAGACAGGGTGACCATTTAAGTCGTGTTATTTACGTTACGAATTAACGAACGATCGAACGGAGAATTAACTCTGTTTCATACAAGTATCGTTGTTTAATATGTTTTCGCTGGTTCGACATGTCCAGACTCGAACTTTGATGAGTGGGCATCAAATTTAAGTTCTTTTGAAGGTCCAACTGAGAGACAGGGTGACCATTTAAGTCGTGTTATTTACGTTACGAATTAACGAACGATCGAACGGAGAATTGACTATGTTTCATACAAGTATCGTTGTTTAATATGTTTTCGCTGGTTTATCAGGTCTAGACTCGAACTTTGATAAGTGGGCATCAAATATTGGTTCTGTTGAAGGTCCAGCTGGGAGACAAGGTGACCAGCTCACCCGGACAGCTGGACATGGAGGTGGCCGAGGCAGGAGGCAACTTCAGTGTTGGGGAGAAACAGCTGATATGTCTGGCCCGGGCTCTGCTTCGTCGCAACACGATTCTCATCCTGGATGAAGCCACGGCTAATGTTGATCACAAGTACTGACTCTCGATATACCAGTTATTCTAGTCTGTGTGTAATTCTAGTATTTGCTTTGACAACTTCGTTAAGGGCTGGGCCAAGACGCGACGCATTTTGCTCTGCGAAGTTGCATCCCTTAGTTTTGCCAGAATCCGATAATCTTGGGTTTAACTCGATGTATCTGACAAGACAATGCTTCTAATTATGGTCCTGCAAAATCATTTACGTCACTGGGGTCTAAAATCGGCTCTACGCTTGGGCATGGCTTTGGGCTTTCCTCAAACGTCAAGCCGCCTCGCTTTGATATATAACGGAAATACCGTTCAAATCAGTTGTATCAAAATTGTTAAAGCTGGATCATCCTCTTGCTAACTGTCTAGCCATTGGTGTCAGAGTCACTTCTTGTACACTATGTACGATCCTCCCTAATATCGAGTCCCGAGTGTCACAGTCACTTCTTGTACACTGTGTAACATTCTGCTTAATATCTAGTCCTGTGTGTCACAGTCACTTCTTGTACACTGTGTACGATCCTCCCTAATATCGAGTCCCAAGTGTCACAGTCACTTCTTGTACACTGTGTAACATTCTGCTTAATATCTAGTCCTGTATGTCACAGTCACTTCTTGTACACTATGTACCATTCTGCTTAATATCTAGTCCTGTGTGCCACAGTCACTTCTTGTACACTGTGTAACATCCTGCTTAATATCTAGTCCTGTGTGTCACAGTCACTTCTTGTACACTATGTAACATCCTGCTTAATATCTAGTCCTGTGTGCCACAGTCACTTCTTGTACACTATGTAACATCCTGCTTAATATCTAGTCCTGTGTGTCACAGTCACTTCTTGTACACTGTGTACGATCCTCCCTAATATCGAGTCCCGAGTGTCACAGTCACTTCTTGTACACTGTGTAACATTCTGCTTAATATCTAGTCCTGTATGTCACAGTCACTTCTTGTACACTATGTACCATTCTGCTTAATATCTAGTCCTGTGTGCCACAGTCACTTCTTGTACACTGTGTAACATCCTGCTTAATATCTAGTCCTGTGTGTCACAGTCACTTCTTGTACACTATGTACCATTCTGCTTAATATCTAGTCCTGTGTGCCACAGTCACTTCTTGTACACTATGTAACATCCTGCTTAATATCTAGTCCTGTATGTCACAGTCACTTCTTGTACACTATGTACCATTCTGCTTAATATCTAGTCCTGTGTGCCACAGTCACTTCTTGTACACTATGTACCATTCTGCTTAATATCTAGTCCTGTTCGCCACAGTCACTTCTTGTACACTGTGTAACATCCTGCTTAATATCTAGTCATGTGTGTCACAGTCACCTCGTGTGCACTGTGTAACATCCTGCTTAATATCTAGTCCTGTGTGTCACAGTCACTTCTTGTACACTATGTAACATCCTGCTTAATATCAAGTCCTGTGTGTCACAGTCACTTCTTGTACACTATGTAACATCCTGCTTAATATCTAGTCCTGTGTGTCACAGTCACTTCTTGTACACTATGTAACATCCTGCTTAATATCTAGTCCTGTGTGCCACAGTCACTTCTTGTACACTATGTAACATCCTGCTTAATATCTAGTCCTGTGTGTCACAGTCACTTCTTGTACACTGTGTACGATCCTCCCTAATATCTAGTCCTGTGTGTCACAGTCACTTCTTGTACACTATGTAACATCCTGCTTAATATCAAGTCCTGTGTGTCACAGTCACTTCTTGTACACTGTGTAACATCCTGCTTAATATCTAGTCCTGTGTGTCACAGTCACTTCTTGTACACTATGTAACATCCTCCCTAGTATCTAGTCCTGTGTGTCACAGTCACTTCTTGTACACTGTGTAACATCCTGCTTAATATCTAGTCATGTGTGTCACAGTCATTTCTTGTACACTATGTAACATCCTGCTTAATATCTAGTCCTGTGTGTCACAGTCACTTCGTGTACACTGTGTAACATCCTCCCTAGTATCTAGTCCTGTGTGTCACAGTCACTTCTTGTACACTGCGTAACACACTGCTTAATATCTAGTCATGTGTGTCACAGTCACTTCTTGTACACTGTGTAACATCCTCCCTAGTATCTAGTCCTGTGTGCCACAGTCACTTCTTGTATACTGTGTAACATCCTGCTTAATATCTAGTCCTGTGTGTCACAGTCACTTCTTGTACACTGTGTAACATCCTCCCTAGTATCTAGTCCTGTGGGTCACATCAGTTCTTGTACACTGCGTAACATCCTCCCTAGTATCTAGTCCTGTGTGTCACAGTCACTTCTTGTACACTGTGTAACATCCTGCTTAATATCTAGTCCTGTGTGTCCCAGTCACTTCTTGTACACTGTGTAACATCCTCCCTAGTATCTAGTCCTGTGGGTCAAATCAGTTCTTGTGCACTGCGTAACATCCTCCCTAGTATCTAGTCCTGTGTGTCACAGTCACTTCTTGTACACTATGTACCATCCTGCTTAATATCTAGTCCTGTATGTCACAGTCACTTCTTGTGCACTGTGTAACATCCTGCTTAATATCTAGTCCTGTATGTCACAGTCACTTCTTGTGCACTATGTACCATCCTGCTTAATATCTAGTCCTGTGTGCTACAGTCACTTCTTGTGCACTGTGTAACATCCTGCTTAATATCTAGTCCTGTGTGTCACAGTCACTTCTTGTACACTGTGTAACATCCTGCTTAATATCTAGTCATGTGTGTCACAGTCACTTCTTGTACACTGTGTAACATCCTGCTTAATATCTAGTCCTGTGTGTCACAGTCACTTCTTGTACACTGTGTAACAGTCTGCTTAATATCTAGTCCTGTGTGTCACAGTCACTTCTTGTACACTGCGTAACACACTGCTTAATATCTAGCCCTGTGTGTCACAGTCACTTCTTGTACACTGCGAAACATCCTGCTTAATATCTAGTCCTGTGTGTCACAGTCACTTCTTGTACACTGTGTAACATCCTGCTTAATATCTAGTCCTGTGTGTCACAGTCACTTCTTGTACACTGCGTAACACACTGCTTAATATCTAGTCCTGTGTGTCACAGTCACTTCTTGTACACTGTGTAACATCCTGCTTAATATCTAGTCCTGTGTGTCACAGTCACTTCTTGTACACTGTGTAACATCCTGCTTAATATCTAGTCCTGTGTGTCACAGTCACTTCTTGTACACTGCGTAACACACTGCTTAATATCTAGTCCTGTTTGTCACAGTCACTTCTTGTACACTGCGTAACACACTGCTTAATATCTAGTCCTGTGTGCCACAGTCACTTCTTGTACACTGTGTAACATCCTGCTTAATATCTAGTCATGTGTGTCACAGTCACTTCTGGTACACTATGTAACATCCTGCTTAATATCTAGTCCTGTGTGTCACAGTCACTTCTTGTACACTGTGTAACATCCTGCTTAATATCTAGTCCTGTGTGTCACAGTCACTTCTTGTACACTGCGAAACATCCTGCTTAATATCTAATCCTGTGTGCCACAGTCACTTCTTGTACACTGTGTAACATCCTGCTTAATATCTAGTCCTGTGTGTCACAGTCACTTCTTGTACACTGTGTAACACACTGCTTAATATCTAGTCCTGTGTGCCACAGTCACTTCTGGTGCACTATGTAACATCCTGCTTAATATCTAGTCCTGTGTGTCACAGTCACTTCTTGTACACCGTGTAACATCCTGCTTAATATCTAGTCCTGTGCGTCACAGTCACTTCTTGTACACTGTGTAACATCCTGCTTAATATCTAGTCATGTGTGTCACAGTCACTTCTGGTACACTATGTAACATCCTGCTTAATATCTAGTCCTGTGTGTCACAGTCACTTCTTGTACACTGTGTAACATCCTGCTTAATATCTAGTCCTGTGTGTCACAGTCACTTCTTGTACACTGCGAAACATCCTGCTTAATATCTAATCCTGTGTGCCACAGTCACTTCTTGTACACTGTGTAACATCCTGCTTAATATCTAGTCCTGTGTGTCACAGTCACTTCTTGTACACTGCGTAACACACTGCTTAATATCTAGTCCTGTGTGCCACAGTCACTTCTGGTGCACTATGTAACATCCTGCTTAATATCTAGTCCTGTGTGTCACAGTCACTTCTTGTACACCGTGTAAGATCCTGCTTAATATCTAGTCCTGTGTGTCAAAGTCACTTCTTGTACACTGCGTAACATCCTGCTTAATACCAAGTCATGTGTGTCACAGTCACTTCTTGTACACTGCGTAACACACTGCTTAATATCTAGCCCTGTGTGTCACAGTCACTTCTTGTACACTGTGTACCATCCTCCCTAATATCTAGTCATGTGTGTCACAGTCACTTCTTGTACACTGTGTAACATTCTGCTTAATATCTAGTCCTGTGTGTCACAGTCACTTCTTGTACACTATGTAACATCCTGCTTAATATCTAGTCCTGTGTGTCACAGTCACTTCTTGTACACTATGTAACATCCTGCTTAATACCTAGTCCTGTGTGCCACAGTCACTTCTTGTACACTATGTACCATTCTGCTTAATATCTAGTCCTGTGTGCCACAGTCACTTCTTGTACACTGTGTAACATCCTGCTTAATATCTAGTCCTGTGTGTCACAGTCACTTCTTGTACACTGTGTAACATCCTGCTTAATATCAAGTCCTGTGTGTCACAGTCACTTCTTGTACACTATGTAACATCCTGCTTAATATCAAGTCCTGTGTGTCACAGTCACTTCTTGTACACTATGTAACATCCTGCTTAATATCAAGTCCTGTGTGTCACAGTCACTTCTGGTGCACTATGTAACATCCTGCTTAATATCTAGTCCTGTATGTCACAGTCACTTCTTGTACACTGTGTAACATCCTGCTTAATATCTAGTCATGTGTGTCACAGTCATTTCTTGTACACTATGTAACATCCTGCTTAATATCTAGTCCTGTGTGTCACAGTCACTTCGTGTACACTGTGTAACATCCTCCCTAGTATCTAGTCCTGTGTGTCACAGTCACTTCTTGTACACTGCGTAACACACTGCTTAATATCTAGTCATGTGTGTCACAGTCACTTCTTGTACACTGTGTAACATCCTCCCTAGTATCTAGTCCTGTGTGCCACAGTCACTTCTTGTATACTGTGTAACATCCTGCTTAATATCTAGTCCTGTGTGTCACAGTCACTTCTTGTACACTGTGTAACATCCTCCCTAGTATCTAGTCCTGTGGGTCACATCAGTTCTTGTACACTGCGTAACATCCTCCCTAGTATCTAGTCCTGTGTGTCACAGTCACTTCTTGTACACTGTGTAACATCCTGCTTAATATCTAGTCCTGTGTGTCCCAGTCACTTCTTGTACACTATGTACCATCCTGCTTAATATCTAGTCCTGTATGTCACAGTCACTTCTTGTGCACTGTGTAACATCCTGCTTAATATCTAGTCCTGTATGTCACAGTCACTTCTTGTGCACTATGTACCATCCTGCTTAATATCTAGTCCTGTGTGCTACAGTCACTTCTTGTGCACTGTGTAACATCCTGCTTAATATCTAGTCCTGTGTGTCACAGTCACTTCTTGTACACTGTGTAACATCCTGCTTAATATCTAGTCATGTGTGTCACAGTCACTTCTTGTACACTGTGTAACATCCTGCTTAATATCTAGTCCTGTGTGTCACAGTCACTTCTTGTACACTGTGTAACAGTCTGCTTAATATCTAGTCCTGTGTGTCACAGTCACTTCTTGTACACTGCGTAACACACTGCTTAATATCTAGCCCTGTGTGTCACAGTCACTTCTTGTACACTGCGAAACATCCTGCTTAATATCTAGTCCTGTGTGTCACAGTCACTTCTTGTACACTGTGTAACATCCTGCTTAATATCTAGTCCTGTGTGTCACAGTCACTTCTTGTACACTGCGTAACACACTGCTTAATATCTAGTCCTGTGTGTCACAGTCACTTCTTGTACACTGTGTAACATCCTGCTTAATATCTAGTCCTGTGTGTCACAGTCACTTCTTGTACACTGTGTAACATCCTGCTTAATATCTAGTCCTGTGTGTCACAGTCACTTCTTGTACACTGCGTAACACACTGCTTAATATCTAGTCCTGTTTGTCACAGTCACTTCTTGTACACTGCGTAACACACTGCTTAATATCTAGTCCTGTGTGCCACAGTCACTTCTTGTACACTGTGTAACATCCTGCTTAATATCTAGTCATGTGTGTCACAGTCACTTCTGGTACACTATGTAACATCCTGCTTAATATCTAGTCCTGTGTGTCACAGTCACTTCTTGTACACTGTGTAACATCCTGCTTAATATCTAGTCCTGTGTGTCACAGTCACTTCTTGTACACTGCGAAACATCCTGCTTAATATCTAATCCTGTGTGCCACAGTCACTTCTTGTACACTGTGTAACATCCTGCTTAATATCTAGTCCTGTGTGTCACAGTCACTTCTTGTACACTGTGTAACACACTGCTTAATATCTAGTCCTGTGTGCCACAGTCACTTCTGGTGCACTATGTAACATCCTGCTTAATATCTAGTCCTGTGTGTCACAGTCACTTCTTGTACACCGTGTAACATCCTGCTTAATATCTAGTCCTGTGCGTCACAGTCACTTCTTGTACACTGTGTAACATCCTGCTTAATATCTAGTCATGTGTGTCACAGTCACTTCTGGTACACTATGTAACATCCTGCTTAATATCTAGTCCTGTGTGTCACAGTCACTTCTTGTACACTGTGTAACATCCTGCTTAATATCTAGTCCTGTGTGTCACAGTCACTTCTTGTACACTGCGAAACATCCTGCTTAATATCTAATCCTGTGTGCCACAGTCACTTCTTGTACACTGTGTAACATCCTGCTTAATATCTAGTCCTGTGTGTCACAGTCACTTCTTGTACACTGCGTAACACACTGCTTAATATCTAGTCCTGTGTGCCACAGTCACTTCTGGTGCACTATGTAACATCCTGCTTAATATCTAGTCCTGTGTGTCACAGTCACTTCTTGTACACCGTGTAAGATCCTGCTTAATATCTAGTCCTGTGTGTCAAAGTCACTTCTTGTACACTGCGTAACATCCTGCTTAATACCAAGTCATGTGTGTCACAGTCACTTCTTGTACACTGCGTAACACACTGCTTAATATCTAGCCCTGTGTGTCACAGTCACTTCTTGTACACTGTGTACCATCCTCCCTAATATCTAGTCATGTGTGTCACAGTCACTTCTTGTACACTGTGTAACATTCTGCTTAATATCTAGTCCTGTGTGTCACAGTCACTTCTTGTACACTATGTAACATCCTGCTTAATATCTAGTCCTGTGTGTCACAGTCACTTCTTGTACACTATGTAACATCCTGCTTAATACCTAGTCCTGTGTGCCACAGTCACTTCTTGTACACTATGTACCATTCTGCTTAATATCTAGTCCTGTGTGCCACAGTCACTTCTTGTACACTGTGTAACATCCTGCTTAATATCTAGTCCTGTGTGTCACAGTCACTTCTTGTACACTGTGTAACATCCTGCTTAATATCAAGTCCTGTGTGTCACAGTCACTTCTTGTACACTATGTAACATCCTGCTTAATATCAAGTCCTGTGTGTCACAGTCACTTCTTGTACACTATGTAACATCCTGCTTAATATCAAGTCCTGTGTGTCACAGTCACTTCTGGTGCACTATGTAACATCCTGCTTAATATCTAGTCCTGTATGTCACAGTCACTTCTTGTACACTGTGTAACATCCTGCTTAATATCAAGTCCTGTGTGTCACAGTCACTTCTTGTACACTGTGTAACATCCTGCTTAATATCTAGTCCTGTGTGTCACAGTCACTTCTTGTGCACTGTGTACCGTCCTGCTTAATATCTAGTCCTGTGTGTCACAGTCACTTCTTGTACACTGTGTAACATCCTGCTTAATATCTAGAAGGTAGAAGGTGCTCTCTAGCCGACTCTCCATCTGTATCTTCGCTGAATTCTCTTCTCTACTCAGCGCTAATGATCGGCGGCATCGGGTAAACCCCATAGAAGTAATTTTCTCTCTCTGAAAGTTCAATGTGGTTGGGATGAGGTTGCATTTATAATGAGTTCCAGCAGTGACATAATTTTAGTGGTAATTTCAAGTGTCACACTGCCTTAACGTGCTTAAGGGTCTACTAGCTGAAAACTAGCTTATTGCTAAGACTACTATGTCGTAATAGCCTATATTTTAGATTTATTTTGGGCTTAGTTTTGATTTTGCTTTGTGTACATGGGGTCGGTGCACCACGATTTAGTGTTTTATGTATGGTGCATTATTTCCAGAACTGATGAACTGATACAGAGGACAATTCGGGATCAGTTCCAGCGCTGCACAGTGCTGACCATCGCCCACAGACTCCACACCGTCGTGGACTACGATAGAGTCATCGTGAGTGTTAAAAAATCATAATGTTTGTGGCCATTCAACCATCTATTCACAAATTACCAGGGTTTCGAAGCACTGGGCACATATAAGGCGCACGGTTGGTTATTATGATCTCGACATGACATCAAAGCACAAGTTTTGAGATTCAGAAAGTGTATGAAATGCACTGAGCAATATTCAGACTAGTCTGGGCAAGACAAACAAGTGGTCGAGACTATGAACAAAGTTCGATATAAAATACACCAGCGACCACAATGAACCTGTGCTGCGTGTCACAATGAACCTGTGCTGCGTGTCACAATAAACCTGTGCTGCGTGTCACAATGAACCTGTGCTGTGTGTCACAATGAACCTGTGCTGCGTGTCACAATGAACCTGTGCGGCGTGTCACAATGAACCTGTGCTGTGTCACAATGAACTCGTGTTTTTTGTCACAATAAACCCAGGCTGCGCGTCACAATGAACCTGTGCTGCGTGTCACAATAAACCTGTGCTGCGTGTCACAATGAACTCGTGTTTTTTGTCACAATAAACCCAGGCTGCGTGTCACAATAAACCTGTCCTGCGTGTCACAATGAACCTGTGCTGTGTGTCACAATGAACCTGTGCTGCGTGTCACAATGAACCTGTGCTGCGTGTCACAATGAACCTGTGCTGTGTCACAATGAACTCGTGTTTTTTGTCACAATAAACCCAGACTGCGCGTCACAATGAACCTGTGCTGCGTGTCACAATGAACCTGTGCTGCGTGTCACAATGAACCTGTGCTGCGTGTCACAATGAACCTGTGCTGTGTGTCACAATGAACTCGTGTTTTTTGTCACAATAAACCCAGGCTGCGCGTCACAATGAACCTGTTCTGCGTGTCACAATGAACCTGTGCTGTGTGTCACAATGAACCTGTGCTGCGCGTCACAATGAACCTGTGCTGTGCGTCACAATGAACCTGTGCTGCGGGTCACAATGAACCTGTGCTGCGTATCACAATGAACCTGTGCTGCGTGTCACAATGAACCTGTGCTGTGTCACAATAAATCCTGGCGGAGCGTCACAATGAACTCGTGTTTTTTGTCACAATAAACCCAGACTGCGCGTCACGATGAACCTGTGCTGTGTGTTACAATAAACTCGTGTTTTTTATCACAATGAACTCGTGTTTTTTGTCACAATAAACCCAGACTGCGCGTCGCAATGAACCTGTGCTGTGTGTCACAATGAATCTGTGCTGCGTGTCACAATGAACCTGTGCTGCGTGTCACAATGAACCTGTGCTGCGTGTCACAATGAACTCGTATAGTATAGAACTGATCTTGATGCAGTAACGCTGTCTTCCGTTTCATAAAGGGGTTAATGTTCTCCTGTTTGCAAACTGCATGAATATAAATGTCTTCAGTGTTATTTAAAATGAGATCCAGGTTCAATTAAAACAGTATCAGCTTCCGATACCCTGTTGCCAGGTGCTTGATGAAGGTGAGATAAAGGAGTTCGACACCCCATACACGCTGCTGAAGAACGAGGGCGGGTTTCTGTATCAGCTTGTTAGTCAGATGGGAACTGAACACAAGCAGGAACTACTTGCCATAGCCAAGCGGGCATTTAAATCAAGGTGACGTTTGCCAACGAGATCAAATCGGAATAACACCATTCAGTTGAAACCCATGGCATTGTGATGCTTGTTCGAGTGTCCACAATCCTCAAAGTGTTTCCTTGTGACCTAGTGGTAACCATAAGTCTGGCATCACCAGATTGTCAAGTGAAATGAATGAATTATATTTCCATAACTTATCTCATGACTCATGTGTATGGCATCCTTAGGGCTGAGACTACAAATAAAAGAAATTAAAACAACTTAAATATTATGTTTTGTTCGCACCATTTCGCAAATATCAAACATCTATGTTAAGATAATACTAGGCTGACGTTTCGTTGATATTTATACCTCAAGCAACACATTGCTATTAGAGGGAGCAAATATTGGAACATCTTGTTGAAGTTATGTGTGTCTCGAGAGTTGCAAGAACTATATGAAAACATATTGATGTGATATATATTTATTCAAATATAATTTCAAATAAAATTGAATTTCTTCTCGTTATATGTTATTCTCCTGTACATAGATATCATCGATCATGGATCATTGATCATGGATCATCTCAATTTGAAATTTCGATGTTTGTTATCTCAATCATGGGAATGACATGCATACAAGTATACACTGCCGGGCAAAAGAAAGTATACACCCATGTTTGATGGTAGCTAGAATTAAACATGGTTATTCTATGGGGATATACTTCATACGGCTATCGTAGTTGATTTTGGGTCTGATACAATAATACCATCCCAATATAGTGAAACCGCTATAACATATCTGACGGCCAAAAGAAACTTTACCGAGTTAATTGTAAAAAATTAAAAACACAAATTTTAAACTATATCAATGCAAAACACATCGTCCAAACACAATGATGTTCTGTGCTTAAAGTGATACACGTCCACAATTTGTTTTGTTGAAAATGCGAAAAATGAAAAACACGTGCCGCTTTGGCAGCTGAAACAATACGTGCAATAAGGGTTTATAAATGATACAGACGTCATGTAAGATACTCACTCTGATGGCGAAAGACCACAGAAATGCCACAACTGACACCCTTATAACGCGAGCGGGCCTTGGGTATGGTAAAGATGGGAGCCACGAATGCCTACATTGCTAGAACTTTTGGTTGCTCCTGTGTTGCTGTAACTAACCTCATGCAAGGTGATAGACACATAGGGCAGACAGGCAGACCCAGGGTAACTACGCCCAACGAAGACCGGTACCTGCGTACCTTACAGTTATTGACAGCTGAACAATGACGTCAGAGATTGAGGTGGGCCCGAAATGTGCGTCGTTGGCAGCGACGTGACTTGTAGAGGGTCGTCTTCGGTCAAATCCGAGTATCTCTGTTCACAGCTAATGGAAGTCAGCTAGTTTACCACCGAAGGGAGAACGAACGGCGGCATATTGCGTTCAGGAGGTCGTTTCGTATGATGAAGGGGGTGTTGTGGTGTAAGGAGGAATTTGTGGGAGGGAGAGAACACCGCTGGTCATCGTTAAGTATAAATGTGACGTTTCATTGAACATGAGAGATTTTAGATGTGTGTAACTTTTGGCCACTACGTTGAAAGCTGTTTTTTGCTACCCACCTCAATTCGGGCATCTGCCATGCCAATACCGGAAACTGTATGACTGTCATTTTAGATGTTGATTTCGTTGAGATTTTGATCTTTTTAATTCATTTTTAATCATGCATCATTTGTGGTTTTTAAACTAGAGTGATTTAAAACTATGGCAACGTTTCTTTTGGCCGTCGGTTTATATATGATTTGATTAAGTTGCAGTTCTTAAATGTTAATAGGGTATAGACTATGTGGCTATTATATTGATCAGAATATTATACTGTTACCAACTTGAAGCTTCCCCTTCTTCTGATTATGAACATATTGAAATACATATTCCCAAAGCAGCGAAACAATAACATTTCCATATTCCAATACAGAGAAACCTCTTTACCTCTAGTCCCATAAACTCGACATATCGTTATATCGTTTATGACGAAGTAACTGCATGGTACCGAGAGAAACTATTTGTACTGTGGTTTGATGCCGAACATCTCTTGTCTCGAAGTATGGATAAACCGATATATGTTCTAAGTCCCATGGCTATTCTTGGTGTACTACCTAGATCAAAAGCTGGTGATTGTCGAATATGGTATACGATTTCGTGTTTGGCAACCACCGTATTGTGTCAGGGCCTTCGTTCCACAAAGCGATCTTAGCACTAAGACGATCGTAACTCCCGCACCTGAAATATAAAGGTACGGCCGTCGTGGCCCTAAGATCGTTACATGTAGTCCTAAGCAAACAGAGACACAAATTCATTAAAGTCCAACTTCCCGTCCCCGTTGACGTCGACCTTAGCAATGAGACTCTTCACCTCCTTCATCGACAACGAACGTCCACATCTTGTCAGCACGTCCTTCAGCTCGTCAGCGTCCAGCAGACCATTGCCATCCTTGTCTATCTGGTCAAATGCCCGCCTCATCTCACCATGCCTGAAATGTCATGGGTGCATGTACAAGCCACATCTCACTTCTCTTTCAAACAGTTGTACATAAGTAATTGGGGAGTAAAATAACCACTTAACTTCACCACACCTTGTGTAAAGAAGGTATCGGTAGAAAAAGAGAACATGAATTTGAAAGTTTGATTTTTTAATAAACATTTTCAAGTAACAAAATAAAAATTGAGCGAGTGAGTGAGTATGGTTTTACGCCGCTTTTAGCAATATTCCAGCAATATCACTCCGGGGGACACCAGAAATGGGCTTCACACATTGTGTCGATGTCGGGAATCGAACCCGTGTCTTCGGCGTGACGAACTAACTCATTAACCACTAGGCTACCCGACCGCCCCTCTTGACAAAAGAGATTTACTATCTCTATCTGAGGTGGGCGGTCGGGTAGCCTAGTGGTTAAAGCGTTCGCTCGTCACGCTGAAGACTCGGGTTCGATTCCCGACATGGGTACAATGTGTGAAGCCCATTTCTGGTGTCCCCCGCCGTGATATTGCTGGAATATTGCTAAAAGCGGCGTAAAACCATACTCACTCACTCACTCACTCTATCTGAGGTTGATAGTTGGTTTATTATAAGGTTACAAAAGTATTGAAACGAACATGAAGGCGAACCTTCCCATTCACGTCAGTGTGGCATCAAATATGTGTAAACACACATTGACTACAATACCGTCAGGTTTTACAACCAGCATAAAAACTTAAAACCGAACCGCACAATGAGGTCTCCATTGTGATTTATTGTGCTGTGAAACATGGCCCTAGACTGATACATAACGTTTGTATCCACCCTACCATGACCAATAGCACTAAGGCTCTTATCATCGGGGGTTGTCTGTGCATGGCAGTTGAGGCTGTTCATACCCATTACGTGGAAATGGGTTGATTCTACAAATCATGTTGAGGTGCAAGTGTTGCATACACTCTAAGGGAATTAGTTTGTATATATGTTGTTTAATGTCACTGTTATCAATATTCCACCCATATCACAGCGGTCATAACCTAAGTGAGCCTGAATAATGCAAAGATATTACTTGAATATTGCAAAGAGTGTCGTCCCTAGTAACATTTAAAAAAACAATTATTAAATAATTTAACGTCGCGTTCAAGATTATTAGACTTATATAGCGACGTGTATGATCGACCGTGTGTGTGTGGGTTGGTGGGGGGTTTGGGGTGTGTGTGTGTGTGTGGGGGGGGGGGGGGGGGGGGGGGGGGGAGGAGGTAAACGGGAAATCGAGAATTCAGGCATGAAAATGTATGTATTGTAACTGTTTGAAGAATACAATTATGAACTGATGTCTTTACCCTTTTCCATATTTTGACCAATGCAATTATGGAAAGGTGAGGTGATATGGGGTTTAACATCGCGTCCAAGATTATGGCACTTATATAGCGACGTGCATCACTGAGATACCATGCCGCAGTTTAACATGAATATCCCACTCAGACACAGTATACTGACTCCGACTCTACTGACAAACAATTAGCATGGTGAATTGTATGGTGTATGTGACCCTCAAACTGGTGTTACATACATGATCTGTATGTGTGCGTGGACGATTTAAACTTGATTTGGATTGTTTGTTGTTTAACGTCGCACTTAGCAATATTCCAGCTATATGACGGCCATCTGTAATGATAGAGTCTGGACCAGACAATCCAGTGATTAATATCATGAGCATCGGCCCACGCAATTTGGATCGATGACATGTACCAACCAAGTCAGCGAGCCTGACCACCCGATCCCGTTAGTCGCCTTTTACGACAAGCATAGTCGCCTTTTACGGCAAGCATGGGTTGCTGAAGACCTATTCTACCCCGGCATCTTCACGGTTCTTTAACCTTGAATCCGTAGGAATAGCAAGAAAAAGTAGAAGTGTGATCAAACACAAAAGTAAATGTGATCATATTAACTCATCGAAACGTAACACCTAATGATAATGGTGACATTGACTATTTCTTTTGACATATAGATAATAATTGTCATTTCTCAGGACAGAACAGGATGCCATTTTAACGTGTCACTGGGTCAATGAGAACGTCACACATCCCTTCAATTTAAACAGTTGTCAGGTAAACAAGTTTTGCCTTGAACACCTTACACCATGCACCCTCATAGTGGTTACCAACATGCACCCCCATAGTGGTTACCAACATGCACCCTCATAGTGGTTACCAACATGGACCTATAGTGGTTACCAACATGCACCCTCATAGTGGTTACTAACATGTACTATAGTGGATACCAACACGCACCCTCATAGTGGATACCAACATGCACCCTCATAGTGGTTACCAACATGCACCCTCATAGTGGTTACCAACATGCACCCTCACATTGGTTACCAACATGCACCCTGATAGTGGTTACCAGCATGCACCCTCATAGTGGTTACTAACATGTACTATAGTGGATACCAACATGCACCCTGATAGTGGTTACCAACATGCACCCTGATAGTGGATACCAACATGCACCCTCATGGTGGTTACCAACATACACCCTCATAGTGGCTACCAACATGCACCATCGATGATACCAACATGCACCCTCATTGTGGTTACCAACATGCACCATAGTGGATACCAACATGCGCCCTCATAGTGGTTACCAACATGCACCCTCATAGTGGTTACCAACATGCACCCTCATAGTGGATACCAACATGCACCCTCATAGTGGTTACAAACATGCACCCTCATAGTGGATACCAACATGCACCCTCATAGTGGATACCAACATGCACCCTCATAGTGGTTACAAACATGCACCCTCATTGTGGTTACCAACATGCACCCTCATAGTGGATACCAACATACACCCTCATAGTGGATACCAACATGCACCCTCATAGTGGTTACCAACATGCACCCTCATAGTGGATACCAACATGCACCCTCATAGTGGATACCAACATGCACCTTCATAGTGGTTACAAACATGCACCCTCATTGTGGTTACCAACATGCACCCTCATAGTGGATACCAACATACACCCTCATAGTGGATACCAACATGCACCCTCATAGTGGTTACAAACATGCACCCTCATTGTGGTTACCAACATGCACCCTCATAGTGGATACCAACATGCAATGCACCCTCATAGTGGTTACAAACATGCACCCTCATAGTGGTTACCAGCATGCACCCTCATAGTGGATACCAACATGCACCCCAAAAGTGGTTACCAGCATGCACCCTCATAGTGGTTACAAACATGCACCCTCATAGTGGTTACCAACATGCACCCTCATAGTGGATACCAACATGCACCCTCATTGTGGTTACCAACATGCACCCTCATTGTGGTTCTGGGGCGAAGGGGTCCTCAGTACCCTTTGATTGTTCTAAGAAGACGCTAATAAGAATCGGGAGGTTACAGTGTGTGACCAATTCATCAAGTGCCCTGATGTCGCTGACCTTTGGTCACGATATCAAACGCTTCTTACTTGGCCAAGATTCTATCATAATCATGCTTGTAATTCCTTGAATATTGCTGAACCAAAAAAACAACAACAAAAAAACAAAGTCCATCCACTCTTTCAGACATTTTGTAATCTTTAACATTTCTGTTCAAAACACACATACAACATTCCTGTGCACCACAGTACCCATACCCTGAACATATAAAGCAATATGCATGTCCTTCCACATGTGAACCTCATCAGCTTTCTTGATTCGAGGATTAAAGGATACTCACGAGCGTTTTTCCTCTGCTATATTTGGCATGGCAGCGAGGAATTCATCCAGGGTAATCTTGAAGTTTCCATCGAGGTCCATGGACAAGAACAGATCCTTCGAATGGAAATGGTTTGTTTGTTAACGTTGAATAAGTTGAATAAGTGTATACCCAGAAAATACAATATGTATACCACCAAAGACTAAAGTGTGTACCCATTGGAAAATACATGTATACTAACCAAAGAAAAAAGTGAACACCCGCCAAAGAAAAAAGTAAATACCCCTCAAAGAAAAAAGTGAATACCCCTCAAAGAAAACGCGAATATCCCTCAAAGAAAAAGTGAATACCCAGAAAAGAAAAAAGTGAATACCCAGAAAAGAAAAAAGGGAATACATGTACCCCTCAAAGAAAAAGTGAATACCCCTCAAAGAGAAAAAGTGAATACCCCTTAAAGAAAAAAGTGAATATCCCTCAAAGAAAAAGTGAATACCCCTCAAAGAAAAAATTGAATACCCAGAAAAGAACAAAATGTATGCTCGACAAAGACTGAAGTGTATAACAAAGCAGGGAGAACACTTTGGCGATCTTCCATATGGCTATGATCATACATGATTTCAAGATAATTCAATTCTGTCTGAGAATGTTTTCTAGACCGGTGTCAGGGGTATAATGATTCATGTTTGGTCGCGACAATATTGATTTAAAAAGCCCACTGTATAAAGATAAATTCTGATTCAAAATGTTTTCATTCCATACTCAGTTAGTAGGGGACGAAACAATACTTCGGAGTCCGAAACAATGATGACATAACACAAGTACGTATTCAGTAAAAATGGCGATATTAAACGACTGAGATATTAACAATGACGATACAACACTACTGAGTCAGACAACGTGACGGACAATACTTCTGAGTCTGTAACTATGTCGATATAACATTATTTCGTCTGAAACATTCAGGTGCAACACCATCACAGACGGACATATGTTTTCGTGTACGAGCAAATACATACCACAATCTGTTGTCGCGTCATATCGAACTTGAGTTTTTTGCACAAGGTGGCCAGTTCATCCAGGGTGATGTATCCATTCCCATCAATGTCCACCTGGTGGAAGAACGCGGTGTACAGCTGTTTCTCCTTCTGAGTTAGTTGGGCCATGGCTCGGACTCGGACAGGCTTTCAGATATGTTGCACCGTTGTAGTACTGGACGGCTATCTAATGCGCAACGAGACAGTCCTCTGCTATATATATAACTTACTTCCTGGTTATACAGGTAGACCCCTAACTGCTTTTGGTATATGCGCAGTCGGCATACCTTCGCGTTGTTTTCATGGTATGATGGCTACCTGTGTCAAGGACAGACACGTCTACATGGCAACTATACTGCAACTAATGTTTAAAAATCTTACCCCGAATTAGTTCAACAGTACAGTACGATAAAGGTACCAAATGAAGTGTGTCGTATTCGAATCAGTTCCCCTCAAGCTGGTAATAATAGTGAAATCAACTCCAACTTAGTTAAGTGTGTATATCGTTTAAAATTCAACTTATACGCCCTACTCCTTGGCGGCATCTTGGTCTCAACTCCGGCTGCTTCGAAGTACGGATAAGACTATATACTAGAATAAACTTCTAGTTAACGAAGTTTCTCTGCATGCTGTTTGTTTTGAAACAGCAAACAAAACATTTGTACTTTACAAACTTCAAGTATGGGTATACCGCTTCGTTAAATCATAAAATTTTCCAGGCCTAGTTTTGACTGAATACCCTGAAAGCCTTATTATGGTTGTACTTGTACAAATGTATAATACAGGCGTGGTACGGATGAAAATGTCCCATGTGCTGATGCGTGGATGTTTAACCTGTATATGATATGTCGCCAACGAATATATTATACACTACTGACATGTGATCTGAAAGGTTTTCAAGAAAGTTGTTCAACACGACTGCACAAACACTGTCGTGAGATGACATGTAATGCAGCAGGCATGATCCTAGAACATCTCTCAGACTGTTGCATGAACACATACATTACAAGGTATACAGTAGAGAGGAACAGCTCTCACACATCTATATGTACACATATAGTACAAGGTATACAGTACAGAGGGACAGCTCTCACACATCTATATGTACACATATAGTACAAGGTATACAGTACAGAGGAACAGCTCTCACACATCTATATGTACACATATAGTACAAGGTATACAGTACAGAGGAACAGCTCTCACACTGTTGTATGAACACATACATTACAAGGTATACAGTACAGAGGAACAGCTCTCACACTGTTGTATGAACACATACATTACAAGGTATACAGTACAGAGGAACATCTCTCACACTGTTGTATGAACACATACATTACACAGTATACAGTACAGAGGAACAGCTCTCACACTGTTGTATGAACACATACATTACACAGTATACAGTACAGAGGAACAGCTCTCACACTGTTGTATGAACACATACATTACAAGGTATACAGTACAGAGGAACAGCTCTCACACTGTTGTATGAACACATACATTACAAGGTATACAGTACAGAGGAACATCTCTCACACTGTTGTATGAACACATACATTACAAGGTATACAGTACAGAGGAACATCTCTCACACTGTTGTATGAACACATACATTACAAGGTATACAGTACAGAGGAACAGCTCTCACACTGTTGTATGAACACATACATTACAAGGTATACAGCACAGAGGAACAGCTCTCACGCTGTTGCATGAACACATACATTACAAGGTATACAGTACAGAGGAACAGCTCTCACACTGTTGTATGAACACATACATTACAAGGTATACAGCAAAGAGGAACAGCTCTCACACTGTTGTATGAACACATACATTACAAGGTATACAGTACAGAGGAACAGCTCTCACACTGTTGTATGAACACATACATTACAAGGTATACCGTACAGAGGAACAGCTCTCACACTGTTGTATGAACACATACATTACACAGTATACAGTACAGAGGAACAGCTCTCACACTGTTGTATGAACACATACATTACAAGGTATACAGTACAGAGGAACAGCTCTCACTCTGTTGTATGAACACATACATTACAAGGTATACAGTACAGAGGAACATCTCTCACACTGTTGTATGAACACATACATTACACAGTATACAGTACAGAGGAACATCTCTCACACTGTTGTATGAACACATACATTACAAGGTATACAGTACAGAGGAACAGCTCTCACACATATATATGTACACATACATTACATAGTATACATTACGTAGGAACAGCTCTCACACATCTATATTTACACTTATATTACAAGGTATACAGTACAGAGGAACAGCTCTCACACATATATATGTACACATACACTACATAATATACGTTACGTAGGAACAGCTTTCACACAGACATATGTACAAATACATTACATAGTATACATTACCTGGGAACAGCTCTCACACATATATATGTACACTTACATTACATAGTATACGTTACGTAGGAACAGCTCTCACACATATATATGTACACTTACATTACATAGTATACGTTACGTAGGAACAGCTCTCACACATATATATGTACACTTACATTACATAGTATACGTTACGTAGGAACAGCTCTCACACATATATATGTACACTTACATTACATAGTATACGTTACGTACGAACAGCTCTCACAGAGCACACATTCTATGCCGTGTACCCCACGTATTAGCCGTGTATCCTGTTTTTTCTACAATGGGAAATATTGAATTACCTCCTACCTACATCTGACACAAACGTGCAGTAATTGGGAAACGCTTGACAAGCCCACCAGGACAATCTCTGTGCGTGGCTATTATCCATTAAAAGTACATTGAGGTAAAAAAAAGTATTAAATTTGAAACATGAAGAATAATTGTTCGCATGACATGCTGTATGCCTTGTAGACGTGACAAAGAGGATTATAGACCAAATGACGGCGAGGAGCCAGCGGTATCATCTTGTGAGGGTGACGGCACTACACCACTTAATTTCAAAGCATTCTCGCAAGACGCATCAATAAACATTGTGAACATACTCAATGTTGACTGGCAAAAGTATATCTTAAGATATTAAGTGTATCTTCTGTCTGTAAGTTTCGGTAGAAAACACTCTATTATAACTGTATATCAGGGTGACTCCCCATTGCAGTTTCATCTGTGAACACCTGAGTACCATTGTACAAAACAAGCTCAGCGCTAAGACTGTCGTAAGTCTATGTTAAGATATGGGAGTAACGATCACCTTAGCGCTAAGGTCGCTCTGTACAACGGCACCCTTGTCTGATAAAGTTTAGCTTGGAACACTGTCAACAACAAAACATGTTTTTCACATTAACCAATTTATAGAGCTATAAATATAGAAAATAAAAATAAAAAAATAGAAAAGGAGACACAATCAGGTGTACACTGTTCAATCTACGTTTGTCGATAAGACAAAACTCTTGTTGATAGGTCCTTAATCAATACGATCTCCTCGTGATATAACGGGTGACAGGTGCTATAAATACTGAAAGCCATTACAATGATATCCGACACAACCAAGGCATGGTGTAAAGTCTTAACTGTCCCGTTATCAGTCATGTTTATGTTCTGGAAATGTTCTAAATGTACAGTCAGAAAAATAGTTGGTTGATTTGTTGTTTAACGTCGCACTTAGCAATATTTCAGCTATATGACGGCGGTCTGTAAATAATCGAGTCTTGACCAGACGATCCAGTGATTAATACCATGTTCATTGATCCACGCAATTGGGATCTATGACATGTACCAACCAAGTCAGCTAGCCTGACCTCCCGATCCCGTTAGTCGCATTTTACGACAAGCATAGTCGCCTTTTACGGCAAGCGCAGGGGTTGCAGAAAAATAGTATTCACCAATGAACCAATAAATGTGTTTTGTTTGTTTTGTAGTTCAACGACGTACTAAGCAATATTTCAGCATGTGACGTTAGCCTGTAAATAACCATGTCTAGACGAGACAAACTAGTGATTGATATTATGAGCAACGCTCCACACAGCCGAGTACGGTCCGTGACACTGACAGTCAGTTTACCGAGTCTGACTACCTAATACATTAAGTCGCTTTGTACGACAAGCATAGGTTGCTGGGGGCCCGTTGTAATTCGAATTTCCATCCATATAAATTAGTTCATGTCATCTAACCTATCTTCAACTGAACCAATCAAAGACATAGCTTTATTGAGTGTTCACGCCCTAGCCTTGTCTTATCTGTGGATGTCCACTGAATATTCAATACAGACTCGGAGAGTCGGATCATTTACCTCATCATTTTGAATTCATTATCGTTTTGATAAAAGACTTCAAAACCATTTTGCAATTTTTTTCTTGTGAAACTATTTCATTGTTGAATGCTGCCAAATCAGTCTGTCTCAAATGTCCCTGAACCATATCATTATCCCTTCAACCTAGGCTTTACTGTTATGTTATTGTCTAAACGAAGCAAGTCTAGAGATTATTCACAGGTTTAGGCATAAAACCCCATCCTACTTGGGCTTCTTTTCAATTTAAATGTAGTTGTTTGATATCAAAATTATATATTTTCATAGACTAGATGGTAGTCTAGCGACCACATATATACACCGACACTTGATTAACTCGGACAGCCTCAACTTGATGCAACGTAATAACGTTATATAGAATCCTCCCAATATTGACTATGGTCTAATTTATATTAGCCTCGGACTATGAAGACACATTTCCGACTTGGTGTTAATGCGGTTTCACAATGTTTTGTTTCAAATTATATTTTTGAACAGTATATTTGTCTAATTTTGAAACAGAAGAAACATACATCCACGTGTGGTGTATCATTAGGCAAGTGGTCCCCGGAAGATTCCGTGATAGAATTTGTCTTTAACAACCCAAGCATGTCGTAAGAGGAAACTAACGGTATCGCGTGGCCAGGCTCGCTGACTTGGTTGAGGCATGTAATCGTTTCCCAATTGCGTAGATCGATGCTCATGATGTCAATCACTGGATTGTCTTGTCCAGATTCGATTATTTACAGACCGACGTCACAGCTGGAATATTGCTGCTGAGTGCGGCGTTAAACAACAAGCAAACAAACAAACATTAGGCAAGTGACTTTGGTAGAATGAGAGAGTAGTGTGACGGTTAACCTTCTACAGCCTCACAGGCAGCATGGGTTGTATACTCAGGTAGCTGAGTATGAAAGTCGAGTGCTCACTGACCTTT